AACTGCTCCAAAAGAGCCTAAAAAACCCCTTTGAGGTAACATCACAACTATGAAGGCATCATGGGAAAACTATGGTCGAGACTCCAGGAGCAAAGTCACGTCTTCAAAGCGCGGCTGCTGTGCCTGTAACATTATCCTGACCTACAGTTTAGCTGACTCGACATCACCGTGAAAAAGGCGATCAGACCTAATACAAAACCCTTCGGGAATCAAAGAGCTCTGGGAGCAGCAGTGTCTTGGCTGAAACACAGGCTATCCAGAGGAATGCTACCTGCGGGTGATGCTACAAGAACATGAGACAGATGGTCCAAAATGTTTTCAAAGAAAATAAAGCAAATATGATGGAAAAAAGACAATTAAAACACCACCAAACAAAAGGTAGTGGGGTCGGTAGATAACGGCCCTCCAATATGCCCACACCCTAATCCTCAAACCTCGTAAACATGTCACCTCATGTAGCAAGGGGACTTTGAAGACTAAGGATCTTGAGATGGGGAGAAGATCCTGCATTATCCAGGTGGGTCCAACGTGATCACACGTGTCCTTATTAGATGGAGGCAGAAGGGTCAGAGTCAGAGAAGGAGTTGTGACCAAGAAGCAGAGGTCAGAGAGCGTGAGGCAAATTTAAAGACCAGAGGCTGCTGGACTGAAGATGCAGAGAGGGGTCACAGGTCAAGGAAGGCAGGCACCTCCAGAACCTGACAAAGGCCAGGATACGGACTCTCCCCAGAGCCTCCCCGAGCGACACAACCGTGCTGACACCCTGGCTTTAGTCCAGTGGGACTGACTTGAGACTTCTGACCTCCAGAACTGTAAGAGAATAACTATGTCTTGTTTTAAGCCACTGAGCTTCTAGCACTTTGTTACAGCAGTCATAGGAAATTAAGATGGAGGGACGGACAGACTGCCAGTCTAGTTTTTAAGACTATATAGAGACAAGTTGCAAATCCTGAAACATCCCTCAAACCAAAACCTTCCAGTGTATTCAGGAAGCAGAAAGTATCCTCAGAGGCTCCTCAGATCTTCGACTGGCTGAGGCCGTCCTCACCACCCTCGTCAACAGCCGGCACTTTCCAGTAAGGCTGCAGGGTTAGGACTTTAAACTTTTTTTTAATAGAAATCTCACTTCACTCAGATCCTTGCTCTCAGCACTCCCATCCTGTCTCTCCTCGCAAGCCCAGCTCAAGTCCCATCCCTTCTCCCCAGCTCAGTCCCGGGACTCGCGGACAAGCACCACGTCACGCCAGCCCTGGGGATCGACCCATGGACGGGAGGCCCACGCCCCTCTTCCTTTCCCTTCCCAGGTCTCCATGCCCACCAGCATGAGTTCCCCTCCGTCTCTCTCCCCCACGTGACACTTAAACACTTAAACAGAATGCGGAGCAGTGCAGTAACTGGACTCTATCTTGGTTCCTCAACTAGAACACAGGCCTCTCGAGGGCAGGAAATATATCTAAAACTAATTTTTCTGTAATTTAAGAAAACTGGAAAATGTACACAAAAGTTGTAAAACCTATTATGCACAGTTCAAAGAGTAATGAACAAAACACCTGCACAGACACCCTACTTCACAAATCAAAGCAGTCTTAGAAGCCCCGATGCTTCCTCCCTGGTCACATCCCCTTCTGCCACCTGGGGTGGGGGGTGGGGGGTAATCAATCTCCTAAATTCTGATGTAATATTCCCTTTTTTTTTTTTAATAGTTGTACTATTACTGCAGCATGAATTCTGAAATATTCCGTTTTCCCTGGTTCTGACCTTTACATAAAGGAATCAAGCCCCTTCGGTATGCTCTGGTGCCTTCTTTCACTCAGCGCTGTCTTTGAGACTCACCCACGCCTCCGTAGCTGTAGGCCATATACGCTCACTGCCGCGCTACCTCACGGTACAGACACACAATGCATATAACCATTCTACTGCTGATGGGTTGTTCTCGTTGGTTTTCACTTTACAATTATGAACGGCACTGCCATGAACCTTCTCGTGCATGTCTCCTAGGCACGCGTACAAGAGTTCCTCAAAGGGATAGGCCTATGAGCCGAACTGCTGGGCCACAGGGCATCCAGGCATCCAGCAAGATGTTGCCAAAGTGGCTGCACCGATTTACACGCCCACCAGCAGCAAGTGTGAGCGCATGCTGTCTCCTCTCGATGGCTGGCAACGTCCACCAGTTCACTTCCTGCCAAAGGCTGGCTGTGAAATGGGATCTCACCATGGTTTTCACTGGCATTTCCTGACTACTAATAAGGATGACTGGCACTCTTTTGATGTTTATGTGCTGTTTGTGTTTTCTCATCTATGAAATGCCTGTTCCTAGCTTTTGACGTGTTGTCTTCTTTTTCTTTCAGAGTTATATGAATTCTTTCCATGTTGTAGATACTAGTTCTCTGTATGCTTTGTCTCTTTATAGTGCCTTTGATGAACTGAATGTCTTAATATTAATGTAGTCAAATTTATCTATCTTTTCCCTGCATGGTTTGTGCTTGTCATGTTTTATTTCAGAAATCCCATCCTAGTCCCAAGTCATAAAAATATCTTCCCATATTATTTTCCAAAATTTTTTTTGCAGTTTTGTTTTTCAGATTTAATTCTTTAATCCTCCCACAGCCTTGTGATGGTGTGAGGCTGGGATCACATCCATCTTTACTATTCCTCCTCAGCACCTGGCATGGTGCTAGGTATATGACATTTATTTAATAAACAGAAGCAAATAATGCTTTGTGTTCAAAGTTCAAACTTCCCTCTCGGGGAGAGAAAACTTGAGAAGCTTCTCAAACTTTGCATCAGCACTTTGACGAAGTTATTATTGGTGCATCATGACTTTCTGGAATTTCCTTGCCTTCCTTTGCCAAGTTTCAGTATACCACTACCATGAATTGCATGGAAAGAGCAGAACACGGGAGTTCTCATCCAAGATCCGATAACCCTCAATTTCAGGTCTCCCTTTGTGCAGTGGGAATTAAAATAATAATAGCATCTTCTAGATATAGACCCAAGATAACCGAAGACTTAGGCTCACACAAAAACTTGTACAGCTGTGTTCATAGCAGCATTATTCACTAGCTAAAAAGTGGAAACAACCCAAATGTCCAACAACAGAGGAATGGATAAACAAAATGTGGTCTATCCACATAATGGAATATTATTCAGCAATAAAAAGAATGAAGTATGGATACATGCTATGCCACGGACAAACCTTGAGAACAGTACCCTGAGCAAAAGAAGCCAGACAAAAGGCGACACATCATGGGATTCTACGTATATGAAATGTCCAGAAAAGGCAAATCCAGAGACAGAAAGTACATTAGGGCTGCCACAGGGGGAGTGGGAAATGGGGAGTGACTGCTAATGGGGTGGGATTTCTTTGGGGGATGATAAGAATGTTCTGGAATTAAATAGTGGTGAGGACTGTACACCATGAATATGCTGCTATGAACAGTACATGCTTAAATGGCTAAAATGGTGAATTTTATGTTATGTGAATTTTATCTCAAAAAGAAAAAATCTGCTAAAAAAAATACCAATTTGTTGAACTCTATGCCCCTGGAACATTACTGTAGTGATTATAACCACAGACTCTGAATATAGACATCCTGGATTCGAATCCACGCTCCCCATATAAGAGCTGTGTGTCTTGGGTGAAGGTGACATTACTTCACCTGAGCTTTCCTTACATCACCTGTAAACACGGGGCTAATAGTTCCTGCCTAAGATTATAATGAGAATTAAAGTAGATCATATGTAAAAAGCACTCAGAACAGAGCCCAGAACATAACTGCTCCATAAACCTTGGCTATTAGCCACTATAATTCAGTGTTCGCCGTTAGCTCTTGTCTATTTGTAGTGCTCAGGGTTAAAACTGAGAGCTGGCTTTATGCAAAAGACTCCACTAAGTGCTTTATTCCCATCATCGTACTTGCCCTCTCATCAACCTTACGAGGCAGGGTTTTAATCGTTCCCAATTTACAGACGGGGAAACTGAGGCTTGCCGAGGTAAAGAGAAGAATTGGGCTGTGGGAATTCAGATCGAGGTCTACCAAAGTCCTGAGCCCTGGCTGGCGACGCCCACTGTAAGACCCCCAGGCAGGCATCTTGCTAGCATCACCGAGAGGGCCGTTGAGTTTGGCTTCAAGCGCCCGTCTGTGTCTGGGCTGCACGTTCATTGGGAACAGCGACAGCCTCACTGGTCTCCAGAACCCTTCCCCTCCAGCACCGGGCAGGGCCGAACAAATGACCGCCGCTGGGGAACTGGTGGGGCCCTTTCTCCAAGAGCTCCCTTATTCTGAATTACTTCTACTTCAGAACAAAGACGACGACAACGAATCCCACTCAGACCAAGTCCTTTGGAAACGACAATGAAGAAGCACAAAGGGGTGATCTTCAGAGCCTCGTACGGAGCACCTGGGTCAGGTCTGGGAAAGAGTGGCACCCGCGCTCGGGGTGGCTGGGGCCCCAGGTCGGCCGGGGCCTGGGGGAGGGGCGGGCCCAGAAAAGGGAGTCCTGTGTGGGTGCAACGCCGGGATGGAGCTGTGGAAGGGGCGCTCTTGGGGGACACTCTGGAAGGAGGGAAGCTGGAGGCGGGGTCCGAGGGAAGGGAGGGACGAAAGGGTCCGGGAGGCCTGGGTGTCTCGGCGCTGAGGGCACTAGTCCAGGGGGGCGTGGTGGGGCGCAGAAGGAGGCGCCGGGCCGAAGTCCCAGTGGGCGCCGAGGGAGACCAGGAGGGTCTGGGGCCCAGGGCCTGGCGTGGGGGGCGCGGTACCTGCAGAGGCGACGCAGTCTCGGAGCCGGTCCCACCAAAGACGCTCGGCCACCACCCCGTCGCCGCCGCCGCAGCTACAACGGGCCGCGCCCCCACGTGACCCGCGCACGCGCTGTGGGCGGGGCCGTTGCGGGACCCGCCCCCCCCCCGGCGTCCCGAGTGCGCGTGCGCAGTGGTTGCCGTGGGGACCAGGGAAGCGTATGCCTGCCAACGACGCACACGCAGACGCAGAGTGCCCTGGCGGGCTGGGTCACGTAGTGATCCCACACAACCGGGCTTCCCCACTGCTACGGGGTGTTCAGTGTTTCAGGAATAAACATGAACCGCGACGCCTCGGAGCCCGTGGCGGACGGGGGAGCGGAACAGGACTGCGCGCGGGAGCCGGGCTTGGAGCCAGCCGTGGAGGAGTCGGCGGGTGACCACGGGAACGCAGGCCAAGGGGGCCGCAAGGAAGGTGCAGACAGCCGCCCCAGGGAGGCGAGGGGGGCGACGGCCTGCGCCCAGCACCACACCCCTAGTCTTCACAGCCAGCAGTAATAGTAATAATAATAATGGCGGCCGACACTTACTAAACGATGCGTGCCGTGCGCTCACTGCATTCGAACCATACACCCTCCCTCTGCGGTAAGCACTCCTCTCCCCGTTTCATACAGATGAGGAACCTGGAACTTAAAGAGGTTATAGAACTTTCTCCAAACAGATTACCCTCAGCCAGTCAATGACAGAACAGACTCACGCCTGGACAGTCTGACTCCAGAGCCCAAGCCCTCACTGAACACACCATTCTCCCCACCGCCCAACTTTTTAATGTTTTGAATGTTTCCCTTTATTGCCGTCACCATGCAAGATCAAAGGCTCTCTCCCCCTCTAGATGGCAAGCTATGTCAGGGCAGGACATCCTGATTGAACTGGCAGTGTCCGGTCCAGTGTCTGATCTGTGGTAGACAGAGTGAATGACGAGCTGGTTCTTCTGAGGTGACTCCTCACCAAAGTTTTCCGGAATGGGCTTAGAAAACAGCCTCCCCTCCTGCTTGACTTGGACTGTAAGGGAAACTTTTTAGGAGCTGGTAAAGAAACTACTTGATTTGTGTCTCATGTTTTGAACCCAGCCAACAAATATATCGTGAGCATTGACTGTCCAGGCAAGCCCTGTAAGAGTTGCCGTAGGGAAGCCATGTTGCTCTGTGCACAGACACAGGTTTGAAGCCACTCCTGCTGGGTTCACGCTACCGTTCTGCAACTTGCCGGTTTTATGGCTGTTTGCCCAGAGCTTAAGCTCTCTATAGGGCAGTCTCCTCTTTTGCAAGCGAGATAGTTATAATTAGAGTGTCTGGCATACATTGGGCCAGTAATAAATAGCAGTTCTTGTTATTAATATAACCAATCAATTATTATGCATATTGAGCACCTAGTCTTTATTCCGCAAACCTTTATCTGGTGCCTCTTGTGGCTAGGCAGTATATGCAGTGGGAAATAGGAAATTATAAGATACAGTCCCATACACGGAGTGTTTAATCTCATTCGGTAGTCCACAGGGACACCCAGAGAGCAGCAGCAAACAGCCCTTAAGATCAAGTGCATTTGAATCAGCCAATTTTAATTGACCTTTAAAAAAAAATAAGTGCATTTGAGCGTGTTCATTTTCTTTCTACCAAAGATATTCCCATAATTTTTGTTTCTTCTTGTGTGTTTTTTGAGACCTTTTTTTAAATTGAAGTATAGTTGACTTATAATATTAGTTTAGGTGTACAATGTAATGAGTCAAAATTTTTATAGATTATATTCCATTTACAGTTACTATAAAATATTGGCTGTATTCCCTTTGCTGTACAATACACCCTTGTAGCTTATTTATTTTATAGATGGTAGTTTATATTTCTTAATCCCCTACCTCTATCTTGCTCCTCCCTCCTGTTTGGAGAACTTTTTTAAAAGAACAGAGAACATTATAACAAACACCCATGTATCACCACCAAGAATTGAAAATGATTAGCATTTTAATCATATGTACCTCAAGTCTTTTTTTTTTTTTTTTTTTCGGTGCGCGGGCCTCTCACTGCTGCGGCCTCTCCCGTTGCGGAGCACAGGCTCCGGACGCGCAGGCTCAGCGGCCATGGCTCACGGGCCCAGCCGCTCCGTGGCATGTGGGATCTTCCCGGACCGAGGCACGAACCCGTGTCCCCTGCATCGGCAGGCGGACTCTCTACCACTGCACCACCAGGGAAGCCCCCTCAAGTCTTTTTTTAAAGAAATAAAGCATTTCAGATAAATTTGATGTTTTTTGCCTTACCCCACCTCTATTCCTAGCCCCATTCCCTTCTCCCCACCTCCAGAATTTTGTGTGGGTTCTTTCAATCTCATCTGTCTCTCTCTCTTCCTATCCTATCTATCTACCTATCTATCTATCTATCTAAAATGTGTCCTTAAACAATGCATAGCATAGGTTTGTGTGGGTTTGATTTATGTAAATGATATCCTGTGCTCATTACGAAACCTGCTTTTTTCACTCCATATGTGTTTCTGAGAATTATCCATATTGATTGACATAGCTCCAGTGCATTCTATTCCAAGGCAGAATAATAATCTGTTGCTTTATTGAACCAGTCCCTATGGATGGACATTTGCATTAATAGGTTTTGGCTGTTACAAGTAATGCAGAAGTGAATATCTTCGCACACGTCTCCGTGTCCAGCTGTACAAGAGGTTTTATCAAAGATCTGCCTAGAAGTGAAATTTTCATAGTCCTTATCAGTGCTTTAAAAATCACTGTGATACATTTAAAGAGTACCAGTTCCATGCTAAAAGCAGACAGTTATTCATCAAGTTGAAATTGGGGAACATTTTTTATACATTTCTCGATCTCTATAGAACCAATCTCTTTATTTTACAGAAATTAATGACCCTAAGGAAACATGCGTGGGTCCTTCGGACACTTGCTCCCTCAGCGAGCAGAAACACAGTGGTGATAGCTGGTCAGATGGTCGCTTAGCACAGCAAAAAGATGACAAAGAAGATCGTGGCCCCAGGTACGTGGGTGTGCTCTTGCCACTCACAGCACGACGCGTTTACCCACTAAGGTGGATGTTACAATCACCCCTTTGTCCAGATAAGGAAATTGAGGCTCACAGAGATTAAATAGTCGACCCCACGTCTGAGGATTAGTGGCAGAGGCAGGAGGGCGTTGCTCTGTGGCTTAACTAACCACAATCTATACAACTTGAATGCTGGACCTGGAGAGAGAGAAACATTAGTAGTTCTTGATGACACAAAGGTATTTCTATTAGAACACACTTTGCAGTTTTTGAGAAGGCCGAAAGTCACAATATTGGATGAGGCCCTGAAAGCTGTAAACAAAGTCATCGGGCATATAGAATATTGTGGAATTTGTGGACGGAACGGGTGTGGCAAAGAATTTATGGGATATATTTTACAGCTGACAAATTGAAATAACTTTCTTGTTCATGTGTTTCATTCCACAGAATGACTAAAAATTTTCTGCGAAAACTGTGCAAGCAGCACAAGCTTTATATCACCCCAGCACTGAACGATACGCTGTACTTACACTATAAAGGTAAGCGTCTGGGGGAGGCGCGACCTCATGTCAGGTGGAAAGACTCCAGTGGTGTTAAGAATTACTTGCAGGGATCATCTGGTGTTCTTAACTTATATTTAAGTAGAAATTTCAGAGTTTAGTGGAGATGCATGGAAAAGCAATAATATTTCTTTGAAGAAAAAGTCTTACATGACTGGAGTTAATACAGGTTCAAGGGAAACACATTGGTATCTTTTATTTATATTTGCTAAAGGACCCATACTTTTTCGAGCCAGTAGCTACTTGTAAATACTTTGGGCTTGGGAGGGTTACGTTGTGAAGGACTGTGTCGGTGTCCAGTATCACACATAAACTTAAGTTCAGGTTCATAGACAGGGCTCTTCTAGCAATGAGGAACCAGAGTGAGAACTCCCAACCTCGTGCTGAACTTGGGATGGCCACCCTGCTTCATCAGACCATCTTTATGTTCATTTGTTCAGTAAATGTTTACTGAGAGCCTTCTGTGTGCCTGGCAAGTGCTGAAGATACAGAGACGGATATGGTAAAGATGCTTTTGGTGTCTTGGGGGACAGGGCGGCCACTGTGAGAAGGTTCACGCTGTGCCTGGGAGATTCACGGAGGGCTCCAGCTGCACAACTACTCTAAAGGTGTGGAACGACCCCTAACTGGTCTCCTCACCTCCACGTTGCCCCCTCCAAAATCCTCCACCCAATATCTTGGTGTAACAGTGATGAGATGACTTAGGGGGGCAGACCCCAGAGGACCAATATTTAAGAGGTGGGAAGAAGAAGACGACCCAGTGGGTTAGACCAACTAGAAAGAATCAGAGAGGTAGAAGAATTAGGAGAGAGATATGCCTATATTATCTACTGCTGCCTAACAAATTATCCCCAAACTTACCAACTTAAAAAATTATCATTATTTGATACTGTTTCTGAGGGTCAGGAATCTGGGAATGACTTAGCTGGGTGGTTCTGCCTCATCGTTGCTATTACCCTTTTTTAATAAAAACTTTTGGTTAAAACTTTTCAGGCAACAAAACAAATGACTTTGAAAAAGTTTTGGTAATAGCAGGTGCACTGTGAATTACAAATCTATAATGAGTCACTCAAGGAAACAAAAATGTTTGTTCTCCTCACCTTAAATGTGGCTCATAAAACTGAAAAATACCGTCAAACCAGACCCGAAGTTTGGACTGGCTTCAGGTACAGCTGGATCCATCCTGGTGCTCACCGCATCTCTTCACGAGGCTGTTTCTCCCCTTTCCTTGGCCCTGCTTTCCCTTGTGCTCATTCATTTCAGGCAGGTCACCCCTCACTTCTCCCCACTCCCAGGCGAGAAGGGAAGGTGGCTGCTTCAGTGTTAGGCTCCACCCTTCCAGGCTGGCAATTCTAGCAGAAAGTTACCTCTTTCCAATGGAGCCAGCAAAGCTCCCCGGGATTCATGAAGGTTGGCTCCACTCGGCTAAGCGTGACCAACTCCCTGCAGAGAGCCATGGGGTAGTATCAGGACAGGGATGTCCCTCCAAAGAGGCAGTGGTGTAACTGAGGAAGGACATGTGGATGCTGGGCAGATAGGCAGAAAAGAGGGTGACCCCTGTGCCTCTGAGTGTGTAGAAGCTTAACCGACTCCCCCTTCCTCCCCACTAGGCTTTGACCGCATCGAGAACTTGGAAGAGTACACAGGGCTGCGTTGTCTCTGGCTGGAGTGCAACGGAATACAGAAAATCGAGAACCTAGCGGCCCAAACGGAACTGCGATGCCTCTTCTTGCAAGTGAACTTGCTCCATAAGATCGAGAACCTAGAACCTCTGCAGAAACTGGATGCTCTCAACATCAGCAACAATTACATCAAGACCATTGAAAACCTCTGTAAGAAGGCCCTGACGTGGCGGGGCGGGGTGGGGTGGGGTGGGGCGTCCACTAGGCACCCACATCCACCACCGTTTCCTAGCGGAGGTTCTTAACATTCTTTTCCACCTGTGTTGCTTACTTCTGCCCACCTCCCCTTCCAGCCTGCCTGCCGGTCCTCAACACACTCCAGATGGCCCACAACCACTTAGAGACCGTGGAAGACGTTCAGCATCTCAAGGAATGTTTGAAACTCTGTGTCCTTGACCTTTCCCACAACCAGCTGAGTGACCCAGAGATCCTGAGCATTCTCGAGAGCATGCCCAACCTGGTAAAACACACACACGCACACAACTTGCGTTATCTTGTGTTCTGTAGACAGCAGATCTCTTTTCTCTTTCCCCTCCCTCCCTTCCCCCTTCCTTTCTCCCTGCTTTCTTCACACCCATCACACTTTTTTTTCTTCTCTGTATTTTTAGCTGGAGTGTTTTCAATGCCAGATGCTGTATCGTTTCACCCACAAATATTTCAGTGCGTATTCTTGACAGATAAGGACTTTTTAAAAGCATCATGACAATACTATTATTATATCTAAAATATTACCAGAAGGACAGTTAATAACCAGTCCATATTCAGTGTTCCCCATTTGTCTCAAAAATGTGCTTTGACTGTTGGGTTTTGCAAATCCAAACCAGATCCACACATCACATTTGGATTACACATCTCTCAAATCTCTTGATCTATCACAGTCTCCCCTTGGCTGCTCACACACACACACACACCATAAATCTGTAGAAGAAACCGGGTCCCTCCTCTGGTTGTCAGCCACATCCTGGATTCAGTTGACTGCATCCTCATGGTGTGGTTTACCGTGTTCTGCTGTCCCCAGTATCTCTTGTAAAATGATGGTGGAGCCAGAGACCTGATCAGATATAGGCTCAGAATCTAACTTTGAGGTTTGCTGTTGCATCAGTCAGGGCACCTGTAAGTCTGGTCGCCTCTCGTTTTGTAACTTTCAGCTTGATTCTTGGGTTTGGCTGCTGTCAACCAGATCCAGCCTTCATGAAGTCCCTCATCACCCCTTCCCCTGATCGTTTCTGCAGCTCCCGAAGCATGTTGCCTCCATGTATGATTTCATTAGGGGTCACACAGTGACCATATTCTAAGTCTCTTATTCCTTCTGCACCTATTAGCTGGAATGCTTCCACAAAGAGCAGTTTTGCTCATCCATTCATGCCTCCCTAATATAAAGTCCATATAGAAAAGGCTGGGATAGGGACTTCCCTGGTGGCACAGTGGGTAAGACTCCACACTCCCAATGCAGGGGGCCTGGGTTCGATCCCCGGTCAAGGAACTGGATCCCACATGCATGCCGCAACTAAGAGTTCATATGCCACAGCTAAGGAGCCAGTGAGCTGCAGCTAAGGAGCCCACCTGCCATAACTAAGACCCAGTGCAACCAAATAAATAAATATTTTTTAAAAAAGAAAGAAAAAGCTAGGATAAATGCTTGTTTTCTTTTTCTTTTTATGTATTCCTTTTCAGAGAAATGAGTCAAGAACGTAGGAACCTCTAAAGGTGACAATGAGGTTGAACCTCTAAAGGTTCACGTTATCATCGTGAACACAAAGATTTATAGATACAGTATTTGATATGACTTAATCCTTGCTGTCATTTTAATTTGGGGTGATTGAATGGTCCCATCTTCTGGCCTGTGGCAACCCCTCCAGGCAGCTCCTGTGTCCTTTGGACTCCACTCCAGCAGCCTTTGATGACTTCCTTGCTTTTTAGTGTATATGTGTTGTCATGTGAACTAGGAAAAAATATTCCAAATAGCACACAAAAAACTTGAGTTCACTGTTTACTGCTTAGGGTATGGATAAGAAGGAAAAAGTAAGTCCATTTAAAGAAAAACAGTAAGCAAATCATAGTTCAAGAACAATCTGTAGGGCTTCCCTGGTGGCGCAATGGTTGAGAGTCCGCCTGCCGATGCAGGGGACACGGGTTCGTGCCCCAGTCCAGGAAGATCCCACATGCCGCGGAGCGGCTGGGCCCGTGAGCCATGGCCGCTGAGCCTGCTCGTCCGGAGCCTGTGCTCCGCAACGGGAGAGGCCACAGCAGTGAGAGGCCCACGTACCGCAAAAAAAAAACAAAAAAAACCCCCAAAAAACCAATCTGTAGAGCAGACTGTCACCAAAGACTACTTTAGAATTTATATCATCACCAGTATATGGTGATAATATAAAGCTGTATTATAATACCATTTTTTGGCCTGGCTGCCGTAACAAAGTACCAGACTGAGTGGCTTAAACAACAGAAATTTATTTTCTCATGATTCTGGAGGCTAGAAGTCCGAGATCAAGGTGTCAGCAGGGTTGGTTTCTCCTGAGGCCTCTCTCCTTGGCATGTAGATGGCCATCTTCTCCCTGGGTCCTCATATGGCCTTCTCAGGTGTGTGTGTCTGTGTCCTAATCTCCTCTTCTTACAAGGACCTATTGGATCATGCCCCACCCTAATGACATCATTTAATCTTAATTACCTCTTCAAAGACTCTGTCTCCAAATACAGTCACATTCTGAGGCGCTGGGGGTTAGGACTTTAGCATATGAGTTTGCTGGGGGGAAGCAATTCAACCCATAACAAGAACAGTCTGCCTCGTGGTTGTTTTGTGATGGCTTTTACATTCTCCATACACACGCAGCCCTTTAGTCCCTGCCCCTGGGGCACATCGCCCCCACCACTCAGCCCCACAGAACAGGTCACTTGAACCAGTATATTTATTTTCCTGAACAAGAAAAATCACTTTGGATATGAAAAACATTTCACCAGTTCAGGCAAACTGATGTTAAATGTTTCACCCACATGTCACCTTGACCATTCACCTTCTTGAGTTTCATCGGCAGGAGGGGAGGTGACAGTATTTAAAGAGGGGTGGGGACGGCGCACTGGCACTGCTGTGTCGCTTTCCCTTTCCTGGTCCCGACTTGACATCCAGAAGACCTATGAGCTTGGCAGTAGATAAGCAGGCACTTTGCATCCTATGCCCTCAGTCACCACTTCTTATCTGTCTAGCTGCTGTGTACATTTTCTTAAAATGGGTCCTGGCTGGGAAGGACAGAAAATGATCAATTGGAGATTAATTTCAGTAAAAGAGATTGGGCCAGCAAAACTAATGCAATCACTGCCCTCGGGTAAAGGCCTCAGGAAGTGTTTTCCAGTATTGTTCTGGAAGGACAATGAGATTTAGGATCTGAAGTTCAAGTGTAATAGAAGAAAGGGCTGCCCAGTTCTCGGGACAGTTCTGATGGCACAGAAACAACGAAAGCCTCTGCCTTCTCTGATATCGTCTTCGTGATTTGATGTAAACACTCCCTGTTTATTTTCAGAGCACTGCACATATTAAATGTTTTAATCGCATCCATTTTTCAGTGATTAATGTGGTTCTGCCTGTGTGCTTCCAGCGTGTACTGAATTTGATGGGAAACCCAGTGATTAGGAACATCCCGAATTATCGACGGACACTCACTGTACGACTAAAACATTTAACATACCTGGATGACAGACCAGTTTTTCCAAAGGACAGGTAAGGAAACAAAAAGCCTTTTGATCATACTTAATAGTTGAGCATACTCAATATTAAACTTTTAAAATTTTCTGATTTTTGAGCATTTCCACACATCATTAAATATTTCAGTTAAATAGGTTTAATGGCTTACATGATTGTTTTTAATAGGAAATTCCCTGTTTTTGAGCACTTATTCATAGATTTTTCATAATCCTTTGATAATTATCCTTCTATATAAGCCTCTGATCTCATGGCCGGTTATTTCCTTAGGATGGAACCCTGAGTTGTATTATTGGATTAAAGATAAAGACTGTGGTTTGAGACTTTTAAAAGGTGTTTTTAAATATTTTCTAATTGTTTTCTAGAATGTTTGTATCAACTTATAACTTCCGCAGACACAGCCATGTAAAAAAACAAAACCTTTGCCAGGCCAATTGATGAGTGAAGGTGGTACCTCGCTTTATTTATTTATTTAATTTTTATTCATTTATTTATTTATTTTTTGGCTGCATTGGGTCTTTGTTGCTGCGTGCGGGCTTTCTCTAGTTGCGGTGAGCAGGGGCTACTCTTCATTGCGGTGTGTGGGCTTCTCATTGCAGTGTCTTCTCTTGTTGCAGAGCACGGGCTCTAGCACAAGGGCTTCAGTAGTTGTGGCGCATGGGCTTAGTTGCTCCATGGCACGTGGGATCTTCCCAGACCAGGGCTCGAACCCGTGTCCCCTGCATTGGCAGGCAGATTCTTAACCACTGCGCCACCAGGGAAGTCCCAGTACCTCGTTTTAAATTTGCATTTTTGGGTAACTGATGAAGTTGGTCATTTTTACTACCTTTGTTGGGCATTTGTGTTTCCTTCTCTATAAGTATTGCATTCATGACTTCTTCCTAGTTTCCTGTTGGGGGGATGCTTTTTCTTACTGATTCATAAGAGCTCTTTGCATATCAAGAATATCGAACCCGGGACTGCCATGTATATCATCACTGCTTTTTTTTTTTTTTTTTTTTTTTTTTGGTTTAGCGGGCTTTTTATTCTGTGGCCTCTCCCATTGCGGAGCACAGTCTCCGGACGCGCAGGCTCAGCGGCCATGGCTCACGGGCCCAGCCGCTCCGCAGCATGTGGGATCCTCCCGGACCGGGGCACGAACCCGTGTCCCCTGCATCGGCAGGCGGACTCTCAACCCCTGCGCCACCAGGGAAGCCCACTGATTTTTAAGCAGATTTTTAAGGTTCACCCACATTGCAGCCAGTGTCAGTAAATACTTCCAAAATAATGCTGTGAAATAACATTCCATTTGGAAAGCCCACATTTTATTTTATTTTATTTTTTTATACAGCAGGCTCTTACTAGTTATCCATTTTATACATATTAGTGTGTATATGTCGATCCCCATCTCCCAATTCATCCCCCCACCGCCCCCCACCGCTTTCCCCCCTTGGTGTCCATATGTTTGTTCTCTACATCTGTGTCTCTATTTCTGCCTTGCAAACTGGTTCATCTGTACCGCTTTTCTAGATTCCACATATATGCATTAATATACGATATTTGTTTTTCTGTTTTTCTCTTTCTGACTGACTCTTCACTCTGTATGACAGTCTCTAGGTCCATCCACATCTCTACAAATGACCCAATTGCGTTCACTTTTATGGCTGAATAATATTCCATTGTATATATGTACCACATCTTCTTTATCCATTTGTCTGTCAATGGGCATTTAGGTTGCTTCCATGACCAGGCTGTTGTAAATACTGCTGCAATGAATATTGGGGTGCATGTGTCTTTTTGAATTATGGTTTTCTCTGGGTATATGCCCAGTAGTGGGATTGCTGGGTCATATGGTAGTTCGATTTTTAGTTTTTTAAGGAACATTCATACTGTTCTCCATAGTGGCTGTATCAGTTTACATTCCCACCAACAGTGCAAGAGGGTTCCCTTTTCTCCACACCCTCTCCAGCATTTGTTCTTTGTAGATTTTCTGATGAAGCCCATTCTAACTGGTGTGAGGTGATACCTCATTGTAGTTTTGATTTGCATTTCTCTAATAATTAGTTATGTTGAGCACGTTTTCATGTGCCTCTTTGCCATCTGTATGTCTTCTTTGGAGAAATGTCTATTTAGGTCTTCGGACCATTTTTGGATTGGGTTTTTTTTTTTAAATATTGAGCTGCATGAGCTGTTTATATATTTTGGAGATTAATTCTTTGTCTGTTCATTCGTTTGCAAATGTTTTCTCCCATTCTGAGGATTGTCTTCTCGTCTTGTTTATGGTTTCCTTTGCTGTGCAAAAGCTTTTAAGTTTCATTAGGTCCCATTTATTTTTGTTTTTATTTCCATTACTGTAGGAGGTGGATCAAAAAAGATCTTGCTTTGATTTATGTCAAAGAATGTTCTTCCTATGTTTTCCTCTAAGAGTTTTACAGTGTCCGGTCTTACATTTAGGTCTCGAATCCATTTTGAGTTTATTTTTGTGTATGGTGTTAGGGGGTGTTCTAATTTCATTCTTTTGCAGGTAGCTGTCCAGTTTTCCAGGCACCACTTACTGAAGAGACTGTCTTTTCTCCATTGTATATCCTTGCCTCCTTTGTCATAGATTAGTTGACCATAGGTGCGTGCGTTTATCTCTGGGCTTTCTATCTTGTTCCATTGATCTATGTTTCTGTTTTTGTGCCAGTACCACATTGTCTTGATTACTGTAGCTCTGTAATATAGTCTGAAGTCAGGGAATCTGATTCCTCCAGCTCCGTTTTTCTCTCTCAAGACTGCTTTGGCTATTCAGGGTCTTTTGTGTCTCCATACAGATTTTAAGATTTTTTGTTCTAGTTCTGTAAAAAATGCCATTGGTAATTTGATAGGGATTGCATTGAATCTATAGATTGCTTTGGGTAGTATAGTCATTTTCACAATATTGATCCTTCCAATCCAAGAACATGGTATATGTCTCCATCTGTTGGTATCATCTTTAATTTCTTCCATCAGTGTCTTATGGTTTTCTGCATACAGGGCTTTTGTCTCCCTAGGTAGGTTTATTCCTAGGCATTTTATTCTTTTTGTTACAATGGTAAATGGGAGTGTTTCCTTAAATTCTCTTTCAGATTTTTCATCATTAGTATATAGGAATTCAAGAGATTTCTGTGCATTAATTTTGTATCCTGCTACTTTACCAAATTCATTGATTAGCTCTAGTAGTTTTCTGGTGGCATCTTTAGGATTTTCTATGTATAGTAACATGTCACCTGCAAAGAGTGACAGTTTTACTTCTGCTTTTCCAATTTGTATTCCTTTTATTTCTTTTTCTTCTCTGATTGCCGTGGCTAGGACTTCCAAAACTATGTTGAATAATAGTGGTGAGAGTGGACATCCTTGTCTTTTTCCTGATCTTAGAGGAAATGGTTTCAGTTTTTCACCATCGAGAATGTTTGCTGTGGGTTTGTCGTATATGGCCTTTATTATGTTGAGGTACGTTCCCTCTATGCCCACTTTCTGGAGAGTTTTTATCATAAATGGGTGTTGAATTTTGTCAAAAGCTTTTTCTGCATCTATTGAGATGATCATACCGTTTTTCTTCTTCAATTTGTTAATATGGTGTATCACACTGATTGATTTGCATATACTGAAGAATCCTTGCATCCCTGCGATAAATCCCACTTGATCATGGTGTATGATCCTTTTAATGTGCTGTTGGATTCTGTTTGCTAGTATTTTGTTGAGGATTTTTGCCTCTATATTCATCAGTGATACTGGTCTGCAGTTTCCTTTTTTTGTAGTATCTTTGTCTGGTTTTGGTATCAGGGTGATGGTGGCCTCATAGAATGAGTTTGGGAGTGTTCCTTCCTCTGCAATTTTTTGGAAGAGTTTCAGAATGATGGGTGTTAGCTCTTCTCTAAATATTTGATAGAATTCACCTGTGAAACCATCTGGTCCTGGACTTTTGTTTGTTGGAAGATTTTTAATCACAGTTTCAATTTCATTACTTGTGACTGGTCTGTTCATATTTTCTATTTCTTCCTGGTTCAGTCTTGGAAGGTTATACCTTTCTAAGAATTTGTCCATTTCTTCCAGGTTGTCCATTTTATTGGCATACAGTTGCTTGCAGTAGTCTCTTAGGATGCTTTGTGTTTCTGCGGTGTCTCTTGTAACTTCTCCTTTTTCATTTCTAATTTTATTAATTTGAGTCCTCTCCCTCTTTTTCTTGATGAGTCTGGCTAATGGTTTATCAATTTTGTTTATCTTCTCAAAGAGCCAGCTTTTAGTTTCATTGATCTTTGCTATTGTTTTCTTTGTTTCTATTTTATTTATTTCTGCTCTGATCTTTATGATTTCTTTCCTTCTAGTAACTTTGGGTTTTGTTTGTTCTTCCTTCTCTAGTTCCTTTAGGTGTAAGGTTAGATTGTTTATTTGAGATTTTTCTTGTTTCTTGAGGTAGGATTGTATTGCTATAAACTTCCCTCTTAGAATTGCTTTTGCTGCATCCCATAGGTTTCGGATCATGTATTTTCATTGTCATTTGTCTCTCGGTATTTTTTGATTTCCTCTTTGATTTCTTCAGTGATCTCTTGTGTATTTAGTAACGTATAGTTTAGCCTCCATGTGTTTGTATTTTTTACATTTTTCCCCTGTGATTCATTTCTAATCTCATAGCATTGTGGTCAGAAAAGATCCTTGATATGATTTCAATTTTCTTAAATCTACTGAGGCTTGATTTGTGACCCAAGATGTGATCTATCCTGGAGAATGTCCCGCGTGCACTTGAGAAGAAAGTGTAATCTGCTGTTTCCCAATGGAATGTCCTGTAAATGTCAATTAAACCTATCTGGTCTGTTGTGTCTTTTAAAGCTTGTGTTTCCTTATTAATTTTCTGTCAGGATGATCTGTCCATTGGTGTAAGTGAGGTGTTAAAGTCCCCCACTATTAGTGTGTTACTGTCGATTTCCTCTCTAAAGCTGTTAGCAGTTGCCTTATGTATTGAGGTGCTCCTATGTTGGGTGCATATATATTTATAATTGTTATATCTTCTTCTTGGGTTGATCCCTTGATCATTATATAGTGTCTTTCCTTGTCTCCTGTAACATTCTTTATTTTAAAGTCTATCTTATCTGAAATGAGTATTGCTACTCCAGCCTTCTTTTGATTTCCATTTGCATGTAATATCTTTTTCCATCCCCTCATTTTCAGTCTGTATGTGTCCCTAGGTCTGAAGTGGGTTTCTTGTAAACAGCATATATATGGGTCTAGTTTTTGTATCATTAAGCAAGCCTGTGTCTTTTGGTTGAAGTATTTAATCCATTCACATTTAAGGTAACTATCGATATGTAGGTTCCTATTACCATTTTCTTAATTGTTTTGGTGTTGTTTTTGTAGGTTCTTGTCTTCTGTTGTGTTTCCCACTTAGAGAAGTTCCTTTAGCATTTGTTGTAGAGCTGGTTTGGTGGGGCTGAATTCTCTTAGCTTTTTCTTGTCTGTAAAGTTTTTGATTTCTCCATCAAATCTGAATGAGATGCTTGCCGGGTAGAGTAATCTTGATTGTAGGTTCTTCCCTTTCATCACTTTAAATATATCATGCCACTCCCTTCTGGCTCGTAGAGTTTCTGCTGAGAAATCAGTTGTTAACCTTGTGGGAGTTCCCTTGTATGTTAAATGTCATTTTTCCCTTGTTGCTTTTAATAATTTTTGTTTTTAATTTTTGTCAGTTTGATTACTGTGTGTCTCAGTATGTTTCTCCTTGGGTTTATCCTGCCTGGGACTCTCTGCACTTCCTGGACTTGGGTGGCTATTTCCTTTCCCATGTTAGGGCCGTTTTCGACTATAATCTCTTCAGATATTTTCTTGGGTCCTTTCTCTCTCTCTCGTCTCCTTCTGGGACCCCTATAATGTGAATGTTGGTGCGTTTAATGTTGTCCCAGAGGTCTCTTAGGCTGTCTTCATTTCTTTCCATTCTTTTTTCTTTATTGTGTTCTGTGACAGTGAATTCCACCATTTTGTCTTCCAGGTCACTTATCCATTCTCCTGCCTCAGTTATTCTGCTCTTCATTCCTTCTACTGTATTTTTCATTTCAGTTATTGTATTGTTCATCTCTGTTTGTTCTTTAATTCTTCTAGGTCTTTGTTAAACATTTCTTGCATCGTCTCGATCTTTGCCTCCATTCTTTTTCTGAGGTCCTGGATCATCTTCACTATCATTTTTCTGAATTCTTTTTCTGGAAGGTTGCCTATCTCCACTTCATTTAGTTGTTTTTCTGGGGTTTTATCTTGTTCCTTCATCTGGTACATAGCCCTCTGCCTTTTCATCTTGTCTTTCTGTGAATGTGGTTTGCATTCCACAGTCTGCAGAATTGTAGTTCTTGATTCTGCTGTCTGCCCTCTGGTGGATGAGGCTATCTCAGCCCACATTTTCTTTATCTATCAGTTGATGGACATTTGGGTTGCTTCCACTTTTTGGCTGTTGTGAACAGTGCTGCTATCAATGTTCGTGTGCAGGGTTTTGTGTGTGGACATTTGTTTTCAACTCATTTGAGTAAATACTTAGGAGCACGATTGCTGGATTATATGTAAGATTGTTTGCTTTGTAATTGCCAAGCTGTCTTCCATGGGGCTGCGCCATTTTGCATTCCCACCAGCAATGAAGGAGCATTCCTGTCGCTGCACATCCTTCCCGGCAGTTGGTGTTGTCAGTGTTCTGGATTTTAGCCGTTCTGTTGAGTGTCAAGTGGCATCTCATTGGTTTAATTTGCACTTTCCTGATGTCCTATGATGATGAGCTTACTTGCCACCTGCCTATCTTCTTTGGTGAGGTGTCCAGTTCTTTTGCCCACTTTTTAAAACGTGTGTTTTTCATTTTTGAGTTTTAATAGTTCTTTGTATGTTCTGGATACAAGCCATGTTTCAGTTATCTTTCTTGCAGATATATTCTCCCAGTACAGTTTGCCTTCTCATTCTTTTAACCTCTTCCCGTTTTTAAGTCATCTTTGTATTAATGAGTTGCAATAGGTCTTTATATATTCGAGATACAACCCCCTGATCAGGTATATGATTTGCATACCCATTCTGTGGGTTGCCTTTCATTTATGGTATTCTTTGCATGACACACATTTTTTTTTTTTTATAAAGAAAAGACTCATTCTTTATTTGTACCTTGTTTTTGTCTGCATTTTCTTAGATTTGCCATCAAATTTGCTGATGTGTTTTCATGCACTATTTTTTTTTTTTCGTGGTACGCGGGCCTCTCACTGCCGTGGCCTCTCCCGTTGCGGAGCACAGGCTCCGGACGCGCAGGCCCAGCAGCCATGGCTCACAGGTCCAGCCACTCCGCAGCATGTGGGATCCTCCCAGACCGGGGCACGAACCCATGTCCCCTGAATCGGCAGGCGGACTCTCAACCACTGTGCCACCAGGGAAGCCCTGACACACATTTTTAACTTTGGTGGAGTCCAATTTCTCTTATTTTTTTCTTTGTCACTTGTGGTCTTGGCCTCGTATCTAGCTGGCTTTGCAAACCATTAGACTTTACAGATTAAAAATGTGCACATGTTAATACGTATCCTTGCAGTCATATGTCCTGTGCCTTTAGTTTGATTTTGGGGAAGATGCGCAAGTTTGGTCAGATAGTGTATGTTTTGGATTTACTTCGAACCTGTGACAATTCAAACCTCCCCGATTTCTGGGGTGTTCTTGTTTCTTTGTTTTTTGTTTTTAATACTCCTAAACAGAGCTTGTGCAGAGGCCTGGGCACAAGGAGGGTACAAAGCTGAGCAGGAGGAGAGACAGCAGTGGGAGAGCAGAGAGCGGAAGAAGATCACAGACAGCATTGAGGCCTTAGCCGCAATCAAGCGCCAGGCCGAGGAGAGGAAACAGCAGAAAGCAAGCCAGGAGCAAGGTGCGTGCTTGAGATGCAAGGAGGACCCCAAGCTCTGTTCAGATTTAAGAGCTGGGCTGTGGAACTCAGCCTTTCATCTCAGGGATTGGGGGTGGGGGGTGGGGACCATTCGTTCACGTACCTGCAGATCCATCTGCCCTTGACCTCAAGGACGGTGCTCAGGGCACCTTATTAAGTAGGAACCCCCTTCCTCCTCTTACACCCAGTAGAAGAGCCAGAGTCTCTATGTGTGCTTTTAAATGACATTTTGTGTTTTTCACCTAATTACAAAATGTAAATACGCTACACATAGAAAACATAGAAAGGCAAGAGTAATAACAGTATCATAGCAAGAACCACTCAGTATTCAGTGTGGGTATTTCCTGGCTTTTCCCCACGCATGTAAAACATATGTATTTTTTTAATAGAAAAAAATGGCATAGCTCTATGGCTTTCTTTTTTATATATATAAATTTATTTATTTAACGTATTTATTTTGGCCACATTGGGTCTTCGTTGCTGCATGCAGGCTTTCTCTAGTTGTTGGTGAGCGGGGGCTACTCTTCTTTGCAGTGCACTGACTTCTCATTGCGGTGGCTTCTCTTGTTGCAGAGCACGGGCTCTAGGCGCGCGGGCTCAATAGTTGTGGTGCATGGGCTCAGTAGTTGTGGCTCACAGGCTCTAGAGTGCGGTAGCTGTGGCACATGGGCTTTGTTGCTCTGCGGCATGTGGGATCTTCCCGGACCAGGGCTTGAACCCGTGTCCCCTGCATCGGCAGGCGGATTGTTAACCACTGTGCCACCAGGGAAGCCCCTGGCATAGCTATATTGCTTTTTGCCTACTCTTTTGAATCAGCATAATAGTACAGTCCCATAAAATAGATGTTCCCCTGTAGCATGGTTTTATTTCCCTTTTCCCAACTTTTAATTTTGATATTTTTCAAGTTTTAAGAAAAGCTTAAATAACAGTTAAAATGAACAGCTGAACTGTCTGTTTAGATCGGATGGTTGTTAATATTTGGCACACACAGGCACACACACACACAGTCTTTCCTGTTCTGCTGACCCAGTTGAAAGCAAAGGCAGACGCCGTGGCCCTTAACCCCAAATACCTCAGCCTGCGTCTCCTAAGAGCCCCGCACAGTCTTCTCGTGGCTGTGTCCTGTGCCGGCGGTGCACGCGCTAGGCACCCCCGGTGGACTTTCAGCCCGTGTACTTAGCACCTAAACAGCACTCTGATGACCATCCTGGCAGTTCACTGCAGGTCCCCCTTGTCCTCCCAGGACGTTCCCAGCTCACTGTGGACTTCTGCTCAGGGGAGATGCTCGCGCCAGACAGTGCCAGGGACTTGGGTGCCCCTGTGGAAGGGGAGGAAGCGCCTGAAAAGGACAGAGAAAGGTGGCAGAAGACGGAGCTGTTTGTCAAGGAGAGCTTCGAGGCCAAGGACGAGCTAGTCCCAGAAAAGTCAGAAGAGTCGAGTCTCCCAGAGGAGCTGCCTGTGGATGCTGACGGGGAGCCAGGGGCGGCGCTCCCTGCCAAGGCCCCGCCACCGAGCCCCGGAGCTGCCTGGGAAGGTAGGTGGTTGAGAACAACAGGGGTGTAGATGGGCCAGCACCCGTCTGCGGGCCTCGGGTTTCCACTTCTGACTGCTGAGTCTGCGAGTTATCTAGAACCACAAGGGGAGCCCGGACTGCATTTCTAGTATCAGCTTCAACAAGGTGCAAAGAAATGGGTGAGACGCTAACTGTATTTTATCTAACCCAGTACATCTAAAATATAACTGATATAATAACTGATATCATCATAAAATTATTCATGGGATACTTTCCCTCTTTTGACACTAAGTCTTCAAAATCCAGCCTGTATATGCCACTTATAGCACATCTCAATTCACACGCTCACTTTTGAATGGTTAAGGTGAAATGCAGCTCTATGAAAAGAAGCAAGTTGTTTTGGGCTGCTTCATTTTTTCAATTGAAATGAATTAAAAGTAGATACAATTAAATAAAATGTAAAATCCAGCCCCTCAGGAGTACTGGCCACACTGCCGGCACATGGCCACAGCTACCACAGTGAATGATGGTGATCTAGAACGGAAGCCCACTAGCAGGTTCTCGCCAAGTTCCTGGGGTCCTGCTGACTAACAGATAAACCCAGGACTCGGCCCTGGACACTGCCCATTACTGCTGTGTCTGTGCAGCCCTGGGGGACCCAAACCTTCTGTTCCCAGCCTGAGCAGGATTTGAGGTCCATCTGGGGAGGTCAGCTGGTCTGGCCCCCACTGTCTGGGAGAGGCCTCGAAGTAAGCCTAGCCTCTAGACTGCCGAGGGGGCCAAGGCCACACCCCAGGGCACCAGAGATGGGTGAATTATCTTTCCAGCTGAAGATAATGGCAGGGCAGACTGTCCTCAAAGCTTAACTCAACTGAGCTCTATTTTAATTCTTTTCAAAACCTTACTGGCCACTCCATAGCCCCAAACAATCAGTGCTCCATTATTCACTGGGATTTACTACTCACCCCGCTTTTGTTCAGTAACATCTGAAAAATGTATCGTGTAGCCTACAGTCTTTAACAAGACGTCTGTGGGAAATAGAAACGCACCTTAGGAAGGAGGGGTGGTGTAGGGAGTGAGGTGACCTGTGACTGTGCTGACATCCATGGCCCTGGCCCCCATCTGGGATGCTGGAGCTCATGAAGTCCCCAGGGGTTCCAGCAGGAGAGGCAGGAGCAGTGGGCGGAGAGCAGGGAAGGAGCAGGAAAGTGCGTGGGATCTAAACAGCCACCGCCGCGGGGAGAATAGGCTCCCGGGGAGGGGACATGCCCCGCCCGTCCCTCTGACGCCCTCCTCACACTTGTCGGGTGGCTGTGCCCCTCCTCTCCTGACTCTGCCGTGAGGCTGTGGCTGGAAGGCACCTGTGAGAAGCGTGACTTGTCTTGATTTAACTTCCCCTGGGGGGCCCTGAAGCCCTGCTCTCTGTGGCTCCTGGCTCCACTTTGCTGGATGGGATTGTAGACCCTCCAAGACCTGGTCACTCCTTGGTTTCTGGGAGAGAATTTCTACTAGACAAGGGTCACGTTTTCCCTCAAGCTTCCCACAGACGGCGATGTTATAGGTTTTGTTATTTAAAAGGGGCACTAATCATGTATTAAACACATGGGGAAAAGAGCATCCTCTGAACTACTGATGTAGGTGTTGGCACGTGTATTCTGAGACCCAGATACAAGGTTTTGCCTGCATCCTCACTCCCCCTCCCGTAAGTTTTTTGCCTTGAAACTGCACCTAGCCTAGAAGCAGAGTTTTCTATGAGTGAAACCATCAATTGCCTTCCTGAACGAAGGGCACATTTAACGAGGAGCTGGCAACCTGCGGCAGGTCGGAAGAGGGAGGCGCAGCCAGATGTTTATCTAACGTGTCAGCCAAGGCCATGACTTCCAGCTTAGCCTCCCCAAAATCCCACGATCAGGTGCTCTCACTAGTAACCCATGTTACTGAGTTGGCAACTGGGGCTCAGAGAGGTGAAGTAACCTGCTTCACGTCACAGAGCGAGTGATAGTGGGGCAGAACTGAAGCCAGATCTGCCCGCACAGACCAAGCTCGTCTCCACCTCGATTCACTGCCATCCTCCCTGCTTTTAAGCCCCCACGGCCTTTGCAGCCCACCCCTCCCCCCATAGTCCCCTCCCTACTGAGCTAAACCCTCTGGGTGTCCTGAGTCCCAAGAGGGGAGCTGGGCTGTCAGAACAAGGAGGTCCCTCTTCCACGCAAGTTACTCAACCCCAAGAAAAGCAAATCTAAATATAAAAGCCATCTGTTTTTAAAAAATCACTTTTCCATTTACCTTTCTTGCATGGCACACAGTCTTCCCTTACAAGTCACGAGGCCTAGTGAAGGAGCAGGAAATTAGGAGATAAACGGTACGAGCAGCTTTGCTGCGTTCCCTGGGCTCATCCTCTCTCATCATGGAGTCAGGAGCCAGGGAAGGCGGCCTGGGGACCGAGTCAGGGCTCGGAGGCTTGAATAGCTCCCCATCCCGACGTTGAGTCTCAACAGGACCAGGGGAGACGTGATGTGAGCGCACACCGTCACGGAGACACACGTTTCCCACCTCTATCTGATGACACTCGGTCTAGGGGAGCCTTAGCTTCCTTCCAGTGGTCACCAAAACGGCACAGAGGATGACTCACGCATTTCACTAAAACACTCTGTGAACAGGCGAGGCAGCGAATTTTCTAGACAGACACCCTGAGGTCAAACCCAAGTCCAGCCCCTTAACCAGCTGGGACACCTCAGGCAAGCCACAAAACCTCTCGGAGCCCGTTCTAGCCCCTGCGAAGTGGGAACAGTCTCTGCCGTGGATCGCATGAGGCAACGTGAGGAACACACCCAACAACTACTCTTCCCTGCCTCGCCTTTTCCCGGCACACAAAGCCTAGGCAGGTAGGTTTTAGGAAACAAAGGGTCTCGGCAGCTGCCTGGACTAGAAGCTTCTGCTGGCTGGGAGGCTGGACGCCACGGCGCCACGAGCAGGACACAGGGGTCCGGGGGAAGGGCTGGTTGGAGGGGAAGCAGACTACTGTCGTAATTAGAAGCTGCAAAGCCACGGGCACAGCCAAGTGGAAGAGACCACGACAAACCGGGCCTGGGAGGTGGGCCTGGGATCGTCCACAGCAGCCCCGAAAGCCCCTGCCCACTTCCTTATATCATTCTTTTTTTAAACGTCTATTTATCTACTTTGCCTATTTTATTTTATTTATTTTCGGCCGCTTTGGGTCTTCATTGCTGCGCGCGGGCTTTCTCCAGTTGTGGCGAGCGGGGGCTACTCTTCGTTGCAGTGCGCGGGCTTCTCATTGCGGTGGCTTCTCTTGTCACGGAGCACGGGCTCTAGGTGCACGGGCTTCAGTAATTGTGGCATGCGGGTTCAGTAGCTGAGGCTTGCGGGCTCTAGAGAGCAGGGTCAGTAGTTGTGGTGCATGGGCTTAGATGCTCTGCAACACGTGGGATCTTCCCGGACCAGGGACAGAACCCGTGTCCCCGGCACTGGCAGGTGGATTCTTAACCAATGCGCCACCAGGGAAGTCCCCCTTGTTTCATTCTAAACGGGTGCCCCAATGCAGCTCTCGTGTCAAACTAGGCATGGCCAGTCCTCAGGGTGGACAGCGGACCAGCATGTTGTGAGCAGAGCGGGGCCATTCATCTTTAATCACGGAGACTGGAGAGGAAGCAGAGGGCAGGATAGGAGGGCCCTGGGGGAGGAAGACAAGCCCTGTCTGGACTCCACGTTCCACAGGCAACCCTGCAGTGACTTCACAGGTCTCCCTGACGCTCGTGCGGCAGGAGGGGCTGTGAAAGTTGGCCTTTGGCACCACGGCCTTTCTTTCTTCATCTCCTGGCCCATCAATCATGCCTTTTCCAAGGTTCCTGCGTATTCTTCACAGATTCCTGGCTGGTGCTTCCATCTCCAGGCTCCAGAAAGGGGGCGGCTGTCTCCCTTTCCTTTCAGACATAATCTTGTCCTAACCTGGGATTCTTGCAGCTCCTGTCACAGGGGCTGGAGGCTTTCAGACCTGAGGGCTTTGTCCTTCCTCTTGGAATCGCCTTAACCTCAGGTTTACCCGTCTGTCCACCGTGTATGAAACTAACTCCAAGATTAATATAACTCTTTGTTGTTCCTTAGAATCAGCTCCCCAGACAGTGGCCACTGAAAGTGCATCAGGTACAGAGCTCTGTGGAGCTGAAGATTTGGAAGCCATCAGACTGGAGACGAAGGAGAAGCTCTTCATCGATGTACGTAATTGGTGCATCTGCAGAGAAGTATCTGTGGTACAGCCGGTATCAGATCAGGCACAAAACTTCCAAATCCTTGCTGCCCAGAGTGTGGCCCTTGGGCCAGCAGGCATGGTCTCCCCTGAGGGCTGCTCAGAAGGCGGAACCCCGGGCCCCACCCCAGACCCACTGCTCAGGACCTGCAGTTAATAAGCCCTCCCCCAGAGGCGTCCGTGCCTGTGCCCCTTCAAGACTGAGAAGTGATGGCCCAGGCTGAGTCCCCTTGAACTACATCTACAAACCTCCTGCCGTGTTTTCCCTGAGGAAGCTACACTGAGCGCAGCTCCGTCTGGCGAGCCTCTCCCTCTGTGGACAGCTGCCCGTCCTCCTGGCCTGACTGTCCAGCGGCCCGCCCCCTGGGGCTTGTTCAGTGAGGGGCCGCCTGACCTTGGGACTGATCACGGCCCGGAGCACGGCCCTCCTCCCTGAAGCCCTTCCGCTCTGATAACAGTCTGACATGCTGTGCCCACAGGAATGGGTCTCTGGGGACGTACACACTTTGCCATGACCCCCGGGAACGGTGCTTTGGTGGGGCGAGGGGTGGGGGCCGGCGCCCCACCCTGTAGCCTCACACCCTGCCCGCCCGGAGGACGGCCCGCCTCTGCCCACGAGTGAGCTCCTTCTGTTCAAGCCTGTGCACAGCTTCGCCTGCCCCCGCCCGCTTCTTCTATAAACTCCTACACGGGTGTTTCATTCCCAACCTCACAATTTCACGTGGCTCAACAAGTGTTCAACTGAGTACAGCCAATATTCAGAGTGGGTTTCTGGTTTTCTGGGCCTGCATATACAAATGACAAGAACAAAAGTGGGCAATTCTTCCCTAACATTTGACAACTGACTGTATACAGGACCCCAACACTAAGCTGGTACTGACCTTCCTCTTTGTCCGGCACTATTTTAAACACATCTTGTTATCGATTCATTTAACCCTTCCAATAACTCTAAGACATAGGTACCATTGTCATCCCCATTTTACAGATGAGGAAACTGAGAAACACAGAGGTTAAGCAACTTGCCCGAGGCTCCACAGCCAGGCAGCATGGCTCCAGAGCCCACACAGCTAACACAGCCCGCGCCTGCCTCACACGCTGGACGGGGTGCTCTAGATGAAGACACCCCGATACACAACACAAAACACAAACCCCCCCCTAGTTTGGGGGAGGTCCAAAATAGACTCGTTTTATGCCAGAGTCCTAAGACAAATTTGTGTGTAGGAGGTACGTCTCCCCACAGATGAACGGGGTGAGTAACACCAAAGTGAAGTGGAGAAAGAGGTGGAAATTTCTGAAATATGTCACACCTTGCAAATCTCTTTCACTGATCAGATCCAGGTACCTGGTGTTGCCTCGTGCGTGTGTTTCGAGCGTGCACGTGGCCTGAGTGGTCTGGGTCACTCCGCGGGCCCCTCCACACTCCGAGCATGTAGCGCAGGCTTGGTTGGCTGTGCGGCCGCGTCTGTCCCGTGGACTGGGCGTCGGGAGCGTGCCCTCCTGCTGACGGGGATCGTTTTCTCTTCCAGGACCTGCCTGACTTGGAAGACGTGGATGCAGGCGGATCTCCGGGAGACCAGCACAAGGTGACCTCTCACACATCCCCCCAGTCCCACCTTCCCTTCCAGCCCTGTCACTGACCAGGTGTCTGGGAAAGCTGCATGCCCTTTGTGCCTGAAGCCTCCTCACCTCACCTAAGGAAATGCGGCTGTTTACTGCTGCTCCCCTCTCTGAGGTTTCACAACTACCCACTTCGGGTTTTTTGAACGGATCTTTTATCACTGATTTTTAATAATCATGTTCTGTATGTAATTATCTGAACATTTTTTCTATCCTTCTGATGTATCCGTATGTTCATCTAGTGAATGTCTGTACCACAGCGACACATGGGCAGGGGGGAAGGGAGGGAGGAGAGAACAGAAGGCCCTATGGGGACCTCTCCCAAGGTGACCCGACCCTCCTCCCTCTGGCAGTACTGAGAGCCAGTGTGGGCCAGCCCCGGGAGCCCCAAGGAGAGGGAAGCCTAAGGTGTAATCTCAGGGCAGGAGCTCGTCATCGAAGGAGGGACACAGACAGGGGACCACAGTTCCATGGGGGCCTGACCTCCAAAGCACGACTAGGTGGCCGGGTGAAGGTGGAGCCCGTCAGAAGCCAAGGCTCACAGATGAACCATTCAGGGACCCAGGAGGGTGCTGGTGCAGCAGGAACAGAGTGGGCGAGGGCTGTGCCACACGGAGACCTGACGAGGACCGGAGGGAGTGGAGACCTGGCTGCAGAGCTCACCATGGCCTCCAGGGCTCACAGACGGCTGCCAAGGAGTGTCCATCCTGAGGCCCGACTTTCAAGCAGCGAGTGCTGTGCTCCGTCGGGCCCACAGTGTGATAGATTAAAAAAGCCGAATTAGCATTGTGCATTTTAGAGACTATTGTGGAAACAGAAATGTTCAAATACATTTTTTCTTTTAACAGAAGATGTGCTTTCCAAAGATTACAGCCATCTCGAGCCTGGGTGACGACAGTGACCCTGAACTAGACTACACCTCACTCCCAGTGCTGGAAAACGCATCCACAGACCCCCTTTCCAGTATATTTGCAGTCTCCAAGGACACCTCCAGGAAGGCCGAGATGGAGACGCCCTTTACAGGCATATTCAAAGCAGCAGCAGAGAGGGACTTGGCAACCCACAGGAGAGACACCAAGGCCCCTCGCCCACTGATTCAGGAGCTGGACGATGACGAGCCTTCAGGGCAACCACCCTGGCCCCCAGCCTGCAAAAGGGAAGCCGCGCCAGCCCCGTGCAGTGAGGACAGGCATGGGGACCTGCTTCTGGCCTCCCCTCCAGGTACTGTCACCCAACTTTCAAGGCTACAGGGGCCAAAAGCTTCTCAGGGGGAAATGGACTGTGGACCACCCAAACCCAGAGCAGGTGGCCACCTGGGCCTTTGCCCTAGGAATCCCGTGTTCTCAGAGCGGGTCACTCACGACCTCTCCAGAGACCACGGAGATCGCTAGAGCATGTTCCTAAGTCGCCGGCCGGGGCCAAGGAGCTGCCAGACTGACCCCCTCCCCAACCTTCCCCATCCTGGCCCTTCCAGACCAAGGTTGCTGAGGGAAGGAGGGGACTGGTGATACCGCAGCTGGGAATATGGGACAAAATGAGAGTGACAGCTGGCCGGAGGGTGTGGGTCGTCCACATGCAGGGATGAATGACTGTGAGATGCTGCTGGCCGGGAAGCAGGCGGGGACGGCGCCCACAGTGCCCGGCTGGGTGGGACCGGTAAAGCCACACCCTGACGTGCCCGCCGGCCTGGGGCTGGGGCCTGTGCCCATGACCAGGGAGAGGCACTTTGGGGGAAGCTGGCTAGTGCTTGCTGGTCACAAGCGCACCGGGGGTAGCTCTGTGTTCAGCTTTGTGCCTCCGGGTATCCAACTCGGGGAGCCTGTTGAACACAGACGACTCCCGCTGTAATCCACGCTGGATGACAGCCAGGCTTCTTGCTGAACACCAGCTCGCGTGGCCGCCCCGAGGCCTGCACACGGGAAGGGGCGAGGGCTGGCCGCACTTCCCAAGGACACCGACTTACCCATTTCCTGGCTCTTTAGGAAACAGCCCCGAAAAGGGTGAAGCCCAGTCTGAGGTGGAGCCTGAGGAGCGCCCGGAGCCCAGGGCCAGAGAAGACTGGGACTCAGCCACAAAGGCAGCCCCTCTGCTCTTGGACTAACAGGGACGGGCCCTGGCCTGACCCCCCAGCAGGGGCATGCCACCCCCTTGGCTGGGCTCCCCTTCCCTTCAAAGAGTTGCAGTTACTGCGGGCGTGCAGGGCCCTGGACATGGATGGCACTGTGCTCCCTGCTCTCAAAGCCTAACACAACCCCCGGTTATTTGCAGTATAAACCATGTAACTGTAAATGTCTCCCTTGAGCACTGTAAACATTGTAGCACCCACGCAAGTCCCTATGTTATTGGATTATTCGATGTCCAGTGAGTCACACGTGATTCACTTCATCAGGTACCCGAGACAAGGACCATTCCTCTCTTCACGTGTGATCAGAAACCTAGGTCCCGCCCCAGGGACCCCAGGGGGTGTGTTCCCCGCAAGACTCTTCACCGGAGCCACAGAGCTGCGAAGAAAGCGAACCTGACGCACTGAATGTCGAAAGCCAAGTAAGGGGACGCAGCCCAGCCTGAGGAACTTGATCGTTCAAAACCAGGCTCAGCTGACAAGTTTATTCAACCCCTAAACGTGGGTCCAAAGTGCCTCCCTCTATAAAACGTTAGATGGTGCTAGAAACCGCTTCACACACACACACCTCACCACCGGCAGCGAGCTGCCAACACCCAGCAGCGGAGCACCGGCAGGCTGGGCAGCTCACTTCACCATCACCCGCCACGTCCCCAGGGGCCCGTGCGTGGCGGAGCCCTCGGCCGCCTGGAGCCCCTGCTTTTGGCACAACACTGTCGGCTGGAGGGGATCCCGGCGACACTGACCTTCAGGACGGGGCTCCCAGGACTTCTCAACGTGCCCCTGGGAGCACGAGCTGCAGGAGAAACGACTACCTTGTCCTTCTTCCTCCAACGTGGATTCAAATCGCTTCTGAATGTCTCCCGCAGTCACGAAGGCCTTCGGAAAGCAGGAAGGTCTGCACCCGGGCGACTGTTCTGTTTCCCGTTTCAACCACAAAAGGCACAGCTTATCCAGGACAAAGGGCTCCCCGGAGGTGGGGGGCAGCTTCCCCGGGCCTCAGAAGCCCATGCGGGGCTTCTTGCAGTGTGGCTGCGAGCCGGAGCGGACGGCTGCCCGCTGCCGGGAGGGGGTGGCCCGGACACTGGAGGTCTGGGAGGAAGGCACAGAGGCACCCCCCGGGGCGTCCCCCCGGAGCGGCAGCTCAGCCATGTAGTCCCGGAGGGTCTGCTGCCGCTCCGAGGGGACGGCCCGGGCCCACAGCTCCTGGGTGGACTCCTGGGAGGGCGGGGTCACTGGAGGCTGAGGCCTGGCCGCAGGGAGTGTCCGCTCTGGGCTGGGAGGGGGGCTGGCGGCGTCTGAGAGGTCTAAGCGGCCGCTGAGCGAGGAGAAGGTGTTGGACAGCTGAGTCCGGCGCTTGTGCCGCTTGGGCTGTTTGCTGGGCCCCAGGCTGCTGCCCCGCCGCCTCTCCCACCAGGCCGCCGCCTGGCCCTCCCAGGCTGCCTCCAAACGCTCGCTGAGCTCGTCCTCGGGGCCTGGCTCGGGGGCTGGGGCCCGCTCTTCCGTGGGGAGCAAGCCCAGGTCCCTCAGCTGCAGGAGACGCCCTTTGGCCATGGCCGTGCGGAGACCCTCTGGCGCTTTGCCCTCTGCCTTCTGGGGCTCAAAGCAGCCCAGCAGGCGGCGGTGGGAGAAGGTGGGTGCAGCCCACACGGGGGGAGCCGGGGGCACCTCCAGCAGGGCCTTCAGCCACCGGCTGCAGGAGGCAGTGGCCTGGGGGGTCCAGGAAGCCGTGGGGGCAGGAGAGTCAGGCCCGGGGTCTGCCTGGAGGTGGAGGCCCTGGTGGAAGACGTCTCCAGCCGCCGAAAGTTGGAAGAGCGACAGCACCGGTGTGTTAGCGGAGGGTGGGATGGCGGCGGCCAGACCTGGAGGTGGAAGGACCGTGACCCTACGGCCTGGTGCGGGTGCGGCTCCTCAAACCCACTCCCCTGCCCCAGCGCACCTATGGCTGGTGCTGTCAGACGTTCCTGCAGCCGCCACTGACTCTTGGGCTCCAGTGGGGGGAAGGCAGAGAGGGAGTCGCTCCTGGAAGGGAGAGACTGGGGGGGCCCTGCCAGCCGGGGTGTGGAGGCCCCCTCTCCTGGAGGAGGGACAGACAGCTGAGGCCCTGCCCAGGCCCGGCCCCGCCCGCCCTCCTGCCCACCCCCCGCCTGCGCCGCCCCTCACCTGCGATGTGCAGCAGCTGCAGCTCCCCACCCTGGCCTGCCAGGAGCAGCGGCCGCGGGAGGCCTGTGCGGGGCGGCGGCAGCAGCCGGGCCAGCAGGGGCGCGGAGGGGAGGCCGTGGTTCCACTTCAGCAGGGGCACCAAGGGGAGGCGCTCATCCACCAGGTAGAGCGAGAACTGGAGGCCCAGGAAGAAGACAGAGGGGCCGTGACTGAGGAGTGGGAGAGAGGGACGGGACAGGTCCCCCTCGGTGGCCCCCTCCGGGGCCCCATGTGGCTCTCAGACTAAGTCTCAGCACTCCAGGACCGGCCCTGACCACCTCTGCAGCGTCAGCTGCCCAGCCCCGCACAGGAGGCACCCCCGAGCAGGTGGCACTGTCCCCTGTCCTGATGGCCTTGCTGGGAGAAGGGCTCTCGAGAGAGAGGCTTTCACCCAGCCTCCCCCAACCTCCCCTGACCCTGGCACATACGCCTGAGACACACCCACTAACACCCAGGGTCCTGAGGGGGCGGGGTGGAGCCAGACCTCCTCTCTCCTTCCGGACACGGGGGGACTGTCCAGCTCTGGCCATTGCCCCCACGCCCACGCCCTTCCCCCTTCCCCAGCAGCTGTCCAGGACCGTCTCCAGTGACCGCCTGCGATGGTGCAGGACGGAGAGAAGGGGAAGGTGTCGCTCACCTGGGTGCAGATGAGGTGGAGGGTGGGGTGCAGACACTCGGGGCCGCACTCCCCCAGGTACTGGGTGAGCAGGACCCGTTCCCCTTTCTGGCATGACGCTTCTGCCCCTCCACGAAAAAGCAGCAGACCACAGCCCTGCGGGCCCTAGGGGACACGGCCAGGTCAGCCAGCCCACGGTCTGCCATCTCTGGTGCCACCTGCTGCAGCTGGCCCGGGGCTCGCTGGCCCTGCAGCTCATCACGACCTCTCGGGGGAAGCCCCCCCCCCAAGGACCTGCTCTGTCCCCTCACCTGAGTGTCCACCATCTTCACTCCGGTGCGATCACCCACAGTCAGCACCCGAGGGTGGGCGGTGAAGTCTGCCCAACGCCAGGGCGAGGGGTCCCGGAACACAAGGGTCTCGGGGTCCTTGTAGAGTTGCTGCAGCCTTAGGGAGACAGGCCAGCCATGGTGGGGAGACCGGCTGATGGGGGGAGGCTGGGGTCACCTGGCCTGGTGTCCAGGACACGGGCCGGGTTCTGTGGGAGCCGTTGGTTGGGGTGGAGGGCTTTTATGGGGAAGGGGCGTTACCCGTCCTGGGGAGTCCACAGACAGATGGCTCCGGAACGGCTGCAGATGGCCAGCTCTCCAGGCAGATGAGGGCTACAGGGCACACACGTGATGAATGCCGGGCCACACCCTTCTCCCATGCCCATCTCCACAGAGACCAGCCTCAGTGAGCCCCTCACCTGAGGCTGATCCCTGTGGCCCCCTTCTCGACCTGCAACACCTGGAGAGGGGCCGGCTGCCCCTGCTTACTGACCTTCCACAGGGCACAGTGGTAGTCAGAGCGGACAGCCAGCAGAGCTGAGGGATGGAGAGGGTCAGGGTCAGAGTCAGGCAACAGGTCAGTGAGTGGATGGGGGAGGTGTCTATGGGCCTTACCTTCTCCCTGCACGGTGCGGGTCACCACCTGCCGGACAGGTCCCCGGAGCCGGATATGGCCAGGGTCTCCGAGAACCCGGGGCTCACTGCCTGGGGTCAGGTTGACCTTCTGGAAGTCTGGGCATCTCGCTAAGGATAAGTTCATGCGTTATGGCCACTCAAGGCTCCCAACTTCCCACCTGTCCCTAGAGCATGCCCAGCGAGGGAGGATACACAGCCTGTCCAGGGCGCCTCCTGCAGGATAGACCAGCTGCCCAGCCCCGGGCGTCCTGCCGGGCACCCAGGCCAGCGCGCCCCCAGTGAAGGCGTCGTCCAGGAGCAGCTGCTCCCACCGCAGGGCCAGCTCCTCATGCAGCAGCTCCCCCAGGAGGCTCGCCACCGATGTGCTGAGGATCGGGCCCCCAAGGATGGAGAACCGGCGCTGGCGGTGGCTGAGGTAAGCCCAGGGACAGCTGGGGGCGAGAGGAGGAGGGTCAGGCTGTGGGTGATGGGGAAGAGGGCGGGGTACCATCCCGAGGGAGGCCAGGTGTAGCAGACGCATTCTCGGTCACCCTAGAACTTCTTCCTCTGGGAAACCAGCCCACCCGATTCCTGTGCTGCAGTCACACGATCCAGGCCCGGCCACAGGGATCGGCTCACGGCGGGCATGACACCCAAGCCAAGGCAAGCCAACCGCACCGTTCCCGGGACTTCTGCTGGTGCCTCAGGAAGGACACTAGCCCTTTCCCTGGAATCGTAAACCATCCTGCTGCCGCTTGCAAACAGTCTGTCTAGGAATTAAGCCGAGCAGAGGCAAGAGGATGAGAAAATAAAGAGGCAGAGCCCTGTTAACATCTGAGCACCTGGATGCAGCCATGCCTGTAGTGCATGAACTTCCATTCTTTTTCCCTTACGTGGCTAGTGCAGCTGGGAGTTCTGTATGGGGCAGCGTGGCTCATGACTGCACGGGGGGTATGGAAGCAGTTTGATGGAAACCAGCATCCAGGCCCTGGTTCCCTCCATAGCCCCACCACCAGCTAGGCACACCCATCCCATCCTTTCTCACTAGCCACTTGCCCCCAGGGCTGGTGTCCACCGAGGTCCTGGAGTAGCCTCTTCACGCTGACCACTGTCTTCTTCTTAGAGCGGCTCTGTGTGGAAAGGCCTCGTCAAGCTCACATGCCCTAGGGCTTACCCCGACGGGAAGTGGGGAGCCCCCTCTCCTGGCTGGCCAGGGGTTACTCACCCGTGCTCCCTCCAGTTTGAAATTCTCCAGCATCAGCTTCCCCAGGGGTGCAAAGGCTATGTCCCCATGGTCCCACAAGAACCGGCTGAGCTGCAGGAGGAAAGGAGGCCAGGTCACTAGGCACAGCCCCGGCCGCGTGGCACTGTCCGCCGTGGGGCCGCTTACCTGCTCAGTAACGTCCAGCACGGCTTGGGGCTGTCTACGGAACTGGTAACCTCCCCGGAAAAGCAGATCCTGGGCAGTCACACCGGGGTCCCAGGGATCTGAGGGGAGAGTGAGGCTGCGGAAGGGCCCGGAAATGGAACCAGGTGCCCTAGGTGCCTGGAGGTGCCAAGGGCCCTGTAGGGCAGAATTAGCAGGGAGAGGAAAGGCCTCGCGCGGGAGCTGGGGGAGGGGGACAGCGGGGAGCAGCTTGGGAGGGGGCCCCAAGGCCGAGATCCTTACCAGCACCAGGAGGCAGCAAGGGCAGCGGCCCAGGGGTGTCCGGCTCCCAGAGCAGGCCCTTGGCCACGTGCAGCGCCGTGTTCTGAGGAAACACAACCGTGGCCACGACAGAACAGTGAGTGTGCGCCGGGCCAGGCGCCGTCACCCACTCTTGTCTTATTATTAACTCATTTAATCCTCCAAGGCACCGGCCAAACTGGTACTCCCCTGCATCGGCAGGCGGACTCTCAACCACTGCGCCCCAGGGAAGCCCCATCGTCACTTTAATGGTGAAGACAATGGAGGCACAGCGAGGCCGTCCCTTGTCCCAGGCAGCAGCCACTAAAGAGAAGGCCTGGGATTTGAACCCAGGCAGTCTGACTTCAGTCTGTGCTCTCGACCTCCAGGCTGCACAGGCTCTCGCAGGCGCCCCTGGCCTTTGAGTCTCACTTACACTCAGGAGACCTTGTGGTCACTTACTTGGGACGCCCACAGGCTGCTCCATCCCACTGCGGGGCTGGCCTGAGACAGCTCAGCTCCACACCTGGGGACGGAAGAGCAGCAGGCAGGCGAGCAAGGCTCCCACAGGGGCGGATCTGACGTAAGCCCTTCCTTGTCAAGGGAGCCCCTCCCGCCCAATGCCAGCATCTCTTTTAAATTTCTCGCCCACTTGCCTCTGCCAGGCGTAATCCTTAACCAGCCTGTCTCCAAGTGGCAGCCAGATGGCTTAGGCTTCCGGGGAAAGAGCTGGCGTCCTTCGTGTCCCAGATCTCCCCTCCCCTCCCCACCTCACCCCTACTGTACGGTTTCGGCACCCTTCTGGTTTCGCTCAGAGCTGTTCTCACTTTGTAATGATTTTATCCTTTGGTCTATTCACTTGTCTATTCTCACTCAACCTAACTCTGTTCCATGGGGCTGGGAGCGCATCTGACTTACTCATTCTGGATTCCCAGGGCCTGGTAAGGCACCTGGCACATAGTAAGGGCTGTTCAGTGAGTATCTGTTGGACAAATAGAAGAAAAAAAGATGGGGGCCAACAGCTCCCGCTCAGTAAACCCTCTGCGGATGGCAGGGCATCCCAGGTCCCCAAAGGACGGGATTCTGGCTCAGCCTGTGTCTTAGCAGATTTGTGCCAATGCCACCCCACTCTGCACTCCTGCCAACTGGTGTGAATGCTAGGATAGGGGGGCCAAGGGACGGCACCCACCCTGCAGCCACCAAGGCTCTCCCTGCCAACCTCACCTCAGAACCTTGGGGCAGGGACTCCGGCAGGGTCAGCGCGTCTCTCCAGCTGCACATGAAGGACACGTCAGGAACATCGCTCAGACCAAGGGGGCCAGTCGTAAACAACGAGGGCGGGAGGGAGCTGGGGAAGTCCATCCTGGAAAACAGGAACCACCCTGGCCTTCCTCGGAGACCTGAACCTGACAGCCACTTCCGGGGTTCCTGGAGGGCGAAGAGCACCCTAAGAGGAGTACAATTTCTCTGGGGAAGCAGATAACAAAGAACAAATGACTATGTCGCCTAACGCCTGATAGTAATAAGCGCTACGTTAAAACCAACCAACCAGCCAGGAGGGAGGGGATGGTGGTGGCCGAGGGGTGTGGTCTTAGCATCGTTAAGAAGGTGGCGCTCGGCATACCCTGAGCTAATGACAAGGCCGCTGGGAAGAGGGTACAGCAAGTGCAGAAGTTCTGGGGCAGGAAGCGTGTGAGAAACAACTGGGCAGCCATGGACCGAACCAGGAGGTGAGTGACAGGCCGAAGTCAGACAGGTGGCGAGGGGTCCGCTTCCAGCATGCTCGTATGTATTAATTATAATTACATGTTCATAGACTACACACCCCACACTCTACGCTACGCTCCCAAGACAAACTCAAGTTCCCCAAAGCCAGAGACGAGTCTTATCTGTCTGCCTTCCCACTGTCAAGTACAGTACCTTCCAGAAAAAGGAACTGACTGTGTGTTGAATAATAACAAACTTATGTCAAAGGGCTTTGGCCAGTACAAAGTGCTCCAGAAGGATAAACAGCCATCATCCCTCTTTGTTATTACCTGCAAAAATAAGAGCAGGGCTCGCTCACTGAGCGCCAGCGCCTGCCAGACACGGCACTACGGGTTTTACTCTTCTGCCCCGATTATGGAGTTCAGGAAACTGAGGCTCGGGAAAGAGCAACTTGCCCGAGGCCAGCAGCCTGATCCCCGCCCTGATTCCAAATCCAAGTTCTGCACCACCACTCTCCCACGCACCAGAAGCAAACACCAGCCTTAGAGTCTCAGAAGCAAAAACTTTTCCCCTCGGAACTGCAGCTGCATCGTATCCGTTCAGTCTGTAACCTCCGGACATCCATGTACCCTCGGCACCTGGCAAAGTGCCCACCACACAGTAAATGCCAGGAAATACTTGCCAACTGAATGAATGTGTGTTTCTTAGGGCATGTGTCAGCCTCATTCTAATTGTGGTTTATAGGTACAGCCTTATTTCTTCTTCGAGACTGCTCCCCAGGGGCAGGAACTGTATCTGATTCATTTCTGAGTTCCTGGCATCTGGCTGTTGCGGCCATTCTCTTCCGCAGCAGGAGAGGACAGTGGCGGGAATGCGTCTTTTCACTGCAGGACCCTTTCACACTATCTCTCCGCTTAAAAGGAACACCATTGCCCTTCCTACCCACCTACAAAATCCTCCTCATCCTTCAGATTTTCAGTCAGGAAGCCTCTCCCAGTTCTCCCAATACTATCCCACAACACCCTGCATCCCTTCTCCAGAGCACACATTGCAATGTGGGATTAGATATTTAAAGGTAAAGCCGTTTAATTCCAAACTGCTCTAAGAGTCCCCATGGGGAAGAGCCTTTATTCCCAGTGCCTTGGTACTTACTACATGGTAACAATCAGTACATAAAAACTGAAGGAACAGGGCTTCCCTGGTGGCGCAGTGGTTAAGGGTCCGCCTGCCAATGCAGGGGACACACATTCAAACCCTGGTCCAGGAAGATCCCACATGCCATGGAGCAGTTAAGCCCGTGGGCCACAACTACTGAGCCTGTGCTCTAGAGCCCGTGAGCCACAACTACTGAAGCCCGTGCACCACAAGTACTGAAACCCGCGCGCCTAGAGCCCGTGCTCCGCAACAGAGAAGCCACCGCAATGAGAAGCCCACGCACTACAACGAAGAGCAGCCCCCGCTCGCCACAACTAGAGAAAAATCCGTGCGCAGCAACGAAGACCCAACGCAGCCAAAAATTAAATAAATTAAAAATGAAAAAATTTAAATTAAATTAAAATTTAAATAAATTTTTAAAAAAAATTTTAAACAAATGTTACTCATTGTTCTTTTTTTAAAATTTTATTTATTTTATTTATTTATTTTTGGCTGCATTGGGTCTTCGTTGCTGCGCGCAGGCTTTCTCTAGTTGTGGCGAGCGGGGGCTACTCTTCGTGGCGGTGCGCGGGCTTCTCATTGCGGTGGCTTCCCTTGTTGCAGAGCACGGGCTCTAGGCACGCGGGCTTCAGTAGTTGTGGCTCGCGGGCTCTAGAGCGCAGGCTCAGTAGTTGTGGAGCACTGCCTTACTTGTTCCACGGCATGTGGGAATCTTCCTGGACCAGGACTTGAACCTGTGTCCCGTGCATTGGCAGGCGGATTCTTAACCACTGCGCCACCAGGGAAGTCCTAAAATTTTTTTTTAAAAACAAAAAAACCCAAAAACTGAAGGAACAAATCCAGGAATGAATGAAGGAGAGGAAAAAGGAGCCAAACAGCCTCAAACAAACGCAGGCAGGCTGAAGGCGCTGGTGGAGCCCACGACCTCAGAGAAGCCCCGAGACAAGACAGCCTCGACTTCCCGCCCTCGCCCTGGGCTCTCTCGGCCCGTTTAGACCGCCAAGGCTGCAGAGTCAGTCGGGTCTGCATTCATGCCAGGCCGGGCACGACAAAAAGTGCGCCTGCAATGGGATGGGAGAGGGGATCCGGGCGGCTCTTCCCCTCAGACATCTACTCGCCCACTCCCTCCCTATCCACCTCTTCCCACTCCACCTCCAGGCCCCAGAATTTCAACCCAACAACAATAACAGAGGTCTCCCATCAAGCGCCGTGCGCCAGACAGCTGTTGCTACCACGCTTTACATCGGTGGGATGTTCCCCACTCCACGAGCCGGCGGCTGCTAATACCCCACTTTGTAAACCCTGGGCGACTTGTCCCAAAGCCACAAAGCTTGGCGCCCATGGACTTGAGCAGAGCGACCTGCCTCTCCGTCCCGTCCGGGCGGCGCGCGTACTTACGTGGCCCCGGCCGTTCCGTGCTCGTCTGGGAAACGAACCTCCGCGTGACGCTCGCCTGACCCTCGAGCCACGAGGGAGCCCGAGAGTACCAACCTCGCTCCGGCGCCCTCGACAGGACCGCCCCACAACGGCGTTTACCCGTCGCTTGGGCTGGGCCGGAAGTGCTCCCTGAAAGGCAGGAAGTCCCGCCTCCCAGCCTGGCCTCACGGGCGCTCCAGAGCGCCACCTCCCGGGCGGAGGGGGAATGCGAGTGCAGGCGGCGCTGTGGGCCGTAGAAATCAAATGCCTTCAAATCCCAATAGTGAAGTCCAGGTTGACGGGCGTGCGAAACTCACCTCTGCTTAACTAACTTCCTACTTTACAGAATTGTTGCATTAATTCACTCAACAAACACTGAGCACCTACTATAAGCCAGGCACTTTATTGGTCAGTAGGAATCCTACTGACTGTCTTTATATCCTGTGAAGCAGGCTTTCCAAATAGGAGTACAGGTACTGCTGGGAATGCATAAGGCTTTCCCAGTAGTCAGGCAAATACAGCTTTAGGCACTGGTTCCCAGATTCTAGCATGCATCAGCATCAACTGGAGGGTGTGTTAAAACAGAGTTTCTGGGCTTCCCTGGTGGCTCAGTGGTTGAGAGTCCACCTGCCGATGCAGGGGACACGGGTTCATGCCCCGGTCCGGGAAGATCTCCTTATGCCGCGGAGCGGCTGGGCCCGTGAGCCATGGCCGCTGAGCCGGCGCGTCCGGAGCACAGGCTCCGCAACGCGAGAGGCCACAACAGTGAGAGGCCCGCTTACCGCAAAAAACAAACAAACAACAACAACAGAGTTTCTGATTCAGTGAGCCCGGGGTGGGGCCTGATAATTTGTATTCCTGAGTTCCCAGGTGACGCTGATACTGCTTGTCTGCGGACCAAGCTTTAAGAGCTACTGTGCGATCATATTACCCTTATCCAGCCCAGTAGTTTTCAGACCTGAGCATGCATCAGAATCCCCTGGAGGGCTTGTTATAACCTTTTGCTGGGCCACACCCCCAGCGTTTTCTGGTTCAGTAGGTCTAGGATGTGATTCAGGAATTTGCATTTTTTTTTTTATTCAACTTTTTTTTCATGTAAATGAATTCCTCTTAGAATTTAGTCCCAGAAAAAAACTTTCTCTTTACAAACTTTATGCTACTTCTTTTTTTTTAAGAATTCCACATATTACTTATTTTAAATTTAATTCCATTTTTTTTTTAATTGGAGTAAAATTGCTTTACAATGTTGTGTTAGTTTCTTCTGTACAATGAAGTGAATCAGCTGTATGTGTACCTATATCCTCTCCCTCTTGGACCTCTCTCCCACCCCCACCCCCAACCCCCCCATCTAAGTCGTCACAGAGCACCGACCTGCACTCCCTGTGCTATACAGCAGGTTCCCACTAGCTATCTATTTTACACGTGGTAGTGTATTTATGTCAAACCTAATCTCCCAATTCGTCCCACTCTCCCCTTCCCCCCCAAAATTTGCATTTCTAATGAGTTTCCAGTGATGCTGACGCTGCTGGTCTGGGCACTGCACTTTGAGAACCATTACTTTCAAGAGTCAATTTCCAAATTCTTGGCTTCCATCTATATAGATTTTATCTGGGAGGTGCTTGGCTTCGGAAGCTTCGAGCTTTTTTCTCCTCCGTGGAGTGTTGCCTGAGATGAGTGCAGAACAAGGGGGCTATTCCAAAAAGCAGAGTCCCTGCAGGAGAAAGTTCACATAAGACTAAGAAAAGCAGGCTCAGTAAGAAGTAGTGATGGAAGGGTTCAGGAGAGGGTCTGTTTATATATTATATTTTTTCAATTCTTTATTATTTTTATTATTGTTATTATTATTTTTGGCTGCAGCATGCGGGATCTCAGTTCCCCAACCAGGGATCGAACCCATGACCCCTGTAGTGGAAGCAGAGTCTTCACAACTGGACTGCCGGGGAAGTCCCAGGGGCACACAGTGTTATGTTCGTTCATCTGAGTCCTGGTTACATGGCTCTGTGCCGTGTGTGAAAATTCATTGAATGATCCGTGCACTTTTCTGCGTGTATGTTATACTTCAGTAAAGAATCTTTTTTTAAAAAGAAAAGGAAAAAGGAAGAAAACTGCTGGCTCTGACACTTGATATTACTGAGACTTCAACCTCTAGGTCAGCCTTCTCAGCTACCTTAGAAATACAGTCCAGAAGTCCCTCTACGAGGGCAGGGATTCTTCTGTCTGTGTTGGTCCCTGACATATCCCAAACAGCTAGAAGATGCTTCATGCATATTTGAATCAACGGAAGAGGGCATGAATGAGATGGCTCTTCTGAGAAAGTATCAACACATTTACTTCAATTGAAAAAGCTAAGTCAGACTATTTCTGATGAGAAGTAATTCCATTTTAGCTGAGTGCTTTGTCTATGAGAGTAAGCTTTGACGATTAAATCATTTGGAGGGTGTTTTTCCTAAATGGAATAAGCTAAGTCTGCATCTCCGTGGTTTTGGTGAAAACATATTGGAAAGATGATTACAATATATAATAAACTAGAAATTGCACCTTTCGTAACTCCGTGTGACTAAATAATTGAGGGATACATAGTCTCTCAAAATTATTTTAGGGGTATATATGCCAAAAATATTGAAGGCCTTTTATACTAGTTTCCTATTGCTATTGTAACAAATTACCACAAACTTAGTGGCTTTAGACAACAAAACATCATACGGTTCTGGAGGTCAGAAGCCTGAAATGGGTCTCACTGGGCTAAAATCAGGGTGTCAGTAGGGCTGTGTTCCTTTCCGAAGGCTGTGAGGAGACTTCTTTTTTTTTTTTTTTCCGCCTTTTTCAGCTCTGAAAGCTGCCTACACACCTGGGCTCATGGCCCCCTTCCATCTTCAAAGGCAGCAATGACCAGTTGAATCTTTCTCACAGGCCATCTCTCTGATTTTGACTCTTCGGTCTCTTTCTGGTTTAAGGACCCTTGTGATTACCTTGGGCCCACCCAGCTAATCTCCCTCTCTTAAACTCAGCTGATTAGAAGCCTTAATTCCATGTGCAATCGTAATTTCCCCTTGCCATATGATGTAACAGAGTCATAGGCTGAGGCGATCATGATGTGGACATCTTGGGGGTACCATTATTTTGCCTACCACATCACTATTCACATCACCCATCCAGCTTCTGCTCGGGGAGGCCAATTCCATTTCCTCCTTCCTTCTTCCCTTTCTATAAACAAGCTGTTAGGTTTCCTCCTGTTACTGATATATACTTAACGTGCAGTAAAGTGTACAAGTCTTAAGTGTACACTCATCAAGTTCTTACATACATATAAACCCACATAACTACCACCCAGATCAAGACAGAGAACATTTCCATCACTGCAGAAAATTCCCTGGTGCCTCTTGCCAGTCAATACCTCCTTGAAGAAGTTACCACGATTCTGACTCATCACCACAGATTAATTTTGGCAGCTCCAGAACTTTATATAAGTAGCATCATGTGGAAGATAGTCTTTTTAGTCTGGCTTCTTTCACTCAACACGCATATGTGATTGTTAGCACAAAGTTAGCTTGTTTATTTTTTTAAAAAATTATTACTGAGTAATAGTCCATTGTCTGAATATATCACCATTTGTTTGTGCAGTTTCCTGCTGGTGACGTTTCTGGGTTTGGTGACTCTGGTGAAATCTTTGTGGATTTGTGTAGCCCTCATTCCACTACTGAACACCTGCTATGCTGTTCCTCTACTAGGTATAATTCTGCTCTCTGGGCTACACACGAAAGAAAAACCATAATTCCTGATGCCAATCCTTGAAACGTTTGGGAGTTTGCATCTATGCCGCTCCCCGCAGCTGCTCTTCCCGAGTCAAATGTTACTGGTTCTACCAACTGCTCCTCCTATGCCTCTGTATCCACACTGCCCCAATCCTGGCTAGTGTTCTCAGACCCAAAGGTAGCAATCAGCAGCCGCGGCAACAGTGACAAAGCTTACAGACGGTAAACTGAATCATTGGTCACGTTTTCCCATTCACTGGCTCGAAGACTGTTAAAATTTCCAACCCCTTCGAGTAACTGCGTTGCATCGTAGCAGGCCATATGTAAATTGTCTTCATCCCTAACTTCATTTTATTTTTGTTTTATCTCCTTCATCCCTAGTCCCTCATCTTAAAGCACTGCTGTCTTGCGATATTTTTAGGAACCAACCCAAAATCCCTTCTGGAAAAAAAAAAAAAATCGGGGGGTGGATGGGTGGACAGGGTACCAGATGAGTAATTTTAGCTAGAGCACACATGGAGCATTTAAAGTTGGTTTCAGGAAGGCCTACGGTGAACAGTTTTTAAATGTAGGTCCTAAAGATTCTGTGGGGCTGCTGCAATTGAAAACACCTTCATTTATCAAAAGAGGCCTGACTTTCCACCTCCCCCAGCCCCTCCGCCCCCGCCAGGCTCAATTAAGCAGCCGGGGGCAGGCTGGCATGATACGGCGTGATTTGGGAGGCATCCTAGGATGGGAGCAGGGGTGAGGTGCTGGACTTGGGTCCCCAGACCCCTCCCCTGGTCTTTGCCTCCCCAATACCAGGCAAGGGCGGAGAAGAAGCTAATGGGAGTGCCCAGTGCCCCATCCCCACCTCACACCTGAAGCCCTGCCCCCCGGATGTAGGATGTTGGTCAGGTGGCCACTCAGTCCACATCCAACGGTTTGGGAGACTGGCCTTTCCACTGGCTGGGCACACTGTCGGCCACAGCTTTATGGGCTCTCATTGGCTAGGAGAGAGGTAGGAGGCGGAGCTCTCCATGCGCTGTCTGTCGTGTCACGTGCTCCCCACGCGCGAGCTCGCTTTTGCGTGTAAAAGGGCCCGGGTGGCGTGAGAACGTGCCCACTGTCCTCTCGGGTCCTCGCGTCCGGCCATGGCTTCACAGGCCAGCGCAGCCCTGGGCGCGAACGCCGGTGCCCGCAGGAAGACCCGCCTGGCGGCGTCATTGCAGATCAGCCCCGGGCCCAGCCCCAGGAGGCCTTCGGCCAGCCTGGGCCAAGACCCCTGGGAGATCGTGCCCGCTCCCAACTCAGACGACGCCGAGCAGGGCGGGCAGCTCCAGGCCTCGGCAACGGGGCATGGTGGGCCCGGGGTGGGGGCCCGTGTCTGGGAACTGGGGGCAGCCCGGGCACAGGAAGACTCGAGGGGAAGGATGCGGAGGTCCCACAGGGTCTCCTTTCCGTCCGCCGGGCCCGCCGGGGAATTCCCGACGGCGGCCAGACAGCTGGGCCTACAGATCAAAGACCCGCCACCGGGCCAGGCCGTGGCCTTGCTTACTCAGTGCGCGGCCACTCTGGGAGTCTCCCTGATCTTCCAAGAGAACCAAACAGCAGGTGAGGCCCAGGGGGCTGGGACGGCCGCGTGCCCTGGGCCGACCCCAGATGAAGGGAGGAGGACTGTGAGTTGGGCCTGAGCCTGGGGCCCGAGGGTAGGCCCTGCTGTGAGCAGCGTGGCGCCAGGAGCACCAGGTACATCAGATTTCTAACTGGCAGGTCATGGCCACATCTGAAGCTTGGGTTGCTTAAAGGACCTGCCTCAAGCTACCCCAGCCTTTCAGCAGGCTTTTCTGAGGGCCAGTTACATACAGTTAGAGTTGCCATGCCAGCACTGGAGAGGAGATACCTGAGCGAGGGCCAGCCCCAAAGTCAAAGACATTATCAAACACAGCGTGATGATGGCAACACCGCAAAGAGATGTAATCATTACAGTCCTCCCCTGCCCTCCCCAAGAGCAATACACCAGGTCCTAAATTCAGGTTCCCAACTTTAAGCCAGGACATTCCCTGCTTCTCATGAGGCAGCAAGAGAATCATCGCTTAAGCTTTTGGGAGCATTTGTAAAACATCCTAGGAGAACCCCAACGGAACAGCTCAAAAAGAGAGAATGTGTTAAAAATCTACCGGGGATTTGTTTTAATCAGGTATGGCAAGACAGCAGACGTGAGAATGATTGCCGCAAAGGAAAAAGGAAATACAGATCCCTAGAAACAGGAGACACAGCTTGCCATGCCGGACCATGTGGGAAAGGATGGGGGTGGTCCGGAGGTAGAGGAGAGGGGAGAGCCCAACCCACAGCCTTTATGGGGTTTTCTTGGGACAGAACGGTTGAGGCAGGGTAGGGACGCAGAGTAAGTTTAGGATTGAGGAAGGCAAGACAGTAAGTTTAGGGGTTAGGGGTTGGTTCCTAGTTGTCTAGTACCTGGCCTGGGGGGGGGTGTGATTTAGGGTGTGGGGAGCGTTGGCTTGTGTGAGAGTTTGATGGTTGGGGCGCGAGCTCTGGATTGGTTGGTTTCTATATGAAAGGGCGTGCTTGCAGGGGACTCGTCTGCTATGTCCAGGAATTAGCTAGCCCTGGGAGGGTCAGTCTCTCCAGGATCAAATCCCCAAATGCCAGAGCATCGGGAATACAGAAGTAAGGACATCGATTCAACAGCAGTGATGCTAGCTGACATTCACGAGTTCTGGAGATGGGCCAGGTGTTGTTTGAAGGCCTTCAGACAGTAACTCCTGGAGTCCTCACAAGTATTCCTCGAGGGAGCACAATACCGTTACCACCACTTTACACATGGGGTGACTGAGGCCAGAGGGGCTGTAGCCCAGAGGGGGCACTCTGCATTCAGAGCCTGTGCTGAACCACTGGGTAATATCGGCCCCTCCCTTCTGCCTAAGGTCCCCCTTTCCACTGTTCACATGCATGGGCATATTTTCAGTCATTTTTATTTTTTATTTTGGTAAAATTTCAAAGAATAGTATAAAAGAGCTCCCATAAACTCTTCATCCAGTTTCTGCAGTTCACATTTGCCACACTTACTTTGTGTATGTCTCTCTCTCTCCCTCCCTTCTATATATTTATATATGAATATCCACATTAATTTGTCCTGCTCAATCTGAACACTGATTTACTGCTCCTTAAACACTTCAGGATGTATTTCCTAAGAACAAGGATATCGTCTTATATAATGGCAGTACAGCGATCGAATTCTGGAAGTTGGACATTGATATGATCCTATTAGCTAATTACCATTCACATTCAATTTTTGCCACTGGTCACAATAAGGGCCATTTTTTCCCAACCCAGCAGGACCTATCACATTAGCTCTTACACCTCTTTAATCTCCTTTCATCTGAAACAATTCCTCTGAGTGTCTCTGGCTTCAGGACATTGATGTTTTTGCAAAGTAAGGGCCGGTTGTTCTGTAGAAATTCCGTTCACTTGGGTCTGTTTCCGCAGGATTGGGTTCAGGTGATGCATACCCGGCAGGAGCGCCTGTAGGAACCTCGTGGCCCTGGCTGTGCATCCCACCAGCAGACCTGAGACCTGTTTGTCCTATCCCTGGGATGTCAGCTGGGAGGGCCTCACTAGGGTGGCGTCTGCCAGGTGTCTTCACTTCCCCCGGGTGCGTCATCAGTCATCCGAGGGGGGCATCTCCAGATGGCGTGACTATCCTGTTCCCCAGAACACCATCACCTCGTGGCTCTAGCAGCCTTTGATAATTGTTGCCAGATTTAATTGTCACCCCGCTGGCTGCCGTGGATTCCTGATGCTAGCCTTCCTCCTGCATCTACTAGTTGGCATTTTTTTTTTTTTTTTTTTTTTTTTTGGGTTACGGGGCCCCCCCCCCTTTGTGGCCTCTCGAGTTGCGGAGCACAGGCTCCGGACGCGCAGGCTCAGCGGCCATGGCTCACGGGCCCAGCCGCTCCACGGCATGTGGGATCCTCCCGGACTGGGGCACAAACCCATGTCCTCCGCATCGGCAGGCGGACTCTCAACCGCTGCGCCACCAGGGAAGCCCCTAGCTGGCATTTTTGATGCCCTTTTAAAGTAGGTGAATCTCTGTGCTAGGGAGGGGCACTGAAATGTGGGTTCTCTTCTAAAAGGGAGACCTTTGGGCAACCAGTTTAGCAGCAGGTACCAGCAAGTACCACGAACGGAACTAAATTTATGCCCTTTGACCAAGTGATCCCAGTTCTAGGATTTTTCATCTGTCTCTGTTGTGTCATAAGTAACACCTGAAGTGGTAGGGTTTGGAAGATGACCCTTTCAAATGTAGAAAAGAAATAGAGCTGTGTGTTTGGGGGAAGACAGGGGACCTCCATCCTGGGAACAGTGCAGCCCTGGATGTGGGTCCTGGCACCACCTGGGCACGCTACCTGCCCCTTGTGTGCCCCCTCTGTAAAGTGGGGTCATAGGGCGCTGTTTCAGAGGGCCTCGTGAGGATTCTGAGTGGGTGTGGCCTGGGTGGAGGTCCGCAGGCCTGTCACCTTGTCATTCGTGTCCTCCTCACTGGCAGGTGTCATGGCCCCCCTAGAAGGGGCCCATGATGCGGATAAGGTACATGGTGCTACTTCTCAGCCCCTCCTTCCCCAGACCCCTGCTTGCCCTTCTCCATGTCCGTGGAGCTGGATGGGGTGGTCTGCCCTGCGGGCACCGCCTACAGTAGGGCAGAGGCCGAGCAGCAGGCAGCTCTGGCTGCCCTCCACTACATCCAGCATCAGCTGGAGAGCCCAGGTACTGGGGGAGGGGACCCAGGGCCCTGAGCCCCGGCGGGGGGCAGACGCACGTGTGTGGGGAGGGGGGAGTCGCTGCGGAGACCATCTGGGCATCAGGACCCGGCCCGCAGGGAGCTGACCTGGCCCTAACGTCCTTTGAAGGATGTTAGCAGTCCCTGAGGACAGGGACTGCTGGGGGCAGCCCAGGAACTTTGGGCTTCTGGAGGATGAGCCCCCCACACACACACACACACTGCTTGCCAGTGGGACTTCTGGGATTCCTGAAGGACACAGGACAGGAGGGCAGACCCCAGCACCTACGGCAGCCCGCCCCTTGTCTGTCTTCCAGAGACCCCAAAGACCCCCAGCTGGCCTCCACTCGCCCCCCTGAGCATTGGTAGGTGGGCCCCCATTGACCTGACCCCTGGCACGGGAGGGGCGTGGCCTGTGGGCCCCCCACCGCCGCCCTCTCCCTCACCCGCAGAGAACATCCTGACCCACGAGCAGCGCTGCGCGGCCGTGGTCAGCGCCGGCTTTGACCGCCTGGTGGACGCGAGCTCGCAGTACTGGGCCTGCAAGGGGACTGTGGCCGCAGTCATCCTGGAGAGAGGTAGGGCTGGCCCTGCCCCTCACCTCGGAAGGCCTCTGGGCCTCTCGCCTCAGTCTAGTCATCTCTGCCCCCTTCCCCGCAGAGGTCCCGGGCGCCCAGGGCCACGCCAAGGAGATCTACCAGCTGGTGGCGCTGGGCACCGGCAGTGGCAGCTGTGCCGGGTGGCTGGACTTCTCGGGCCGACAGCTCCACGACTGCCACGGGCTGGTGGTGGCCCGCCGGGCCCTGCTGAGGTGAGGGGTCGGGGGGACCCTCTGCGGCCACTCCGGGTGGGCCGGACCGCCCCAGCTGCTGCTCCCTCCGCCCCCAGGTTCCTGTTTCGGCAGCTCTTGCTGGCCACGCAGGGGGGCCCCAAGGGCAAGGAGCAGTCTGTGGTGGTCCCCCAGCCGGGGTCCGGGCCCCCCTTCGCCCTCAAGCCCCGGATCTTCCTGCACCTGTACGTCAGCAACACCCCCAAGGGAGCTGCCCACGACATCTAGTATGTGGCGCGCCCGGGGAGGGCCGTGTGGGCGGGGGTGGGGAGAGCGGCCCTGAGCCTCGCGTCCTCCTCCCGCACAGCTGCCACCTCCGCCTGCAGGCCCACATCCAGGGGCGGCTGATGCCCGTGTGCTACGTGGCCCCTGCGCTCCGTGACACCCACGTGGGCTGCCTCTCAGCCAGCGACAAGTTGGCACGCTGGGCCGTGCTGGGGCTGGGCGGTGCACTGCTGGCCCACTTCCTGCCCCCCGTCTATGCCAGCAGCCTGGTCCTGGGTGAGGCCCGAGGGCGGGAGGGCTGAGGCGGGCTGGGGCGGGCTGGGGGGTGGGGTGGGGGGGTGCGGGTGCGGGGGAGCGTGGCGGAGACTCAGGTCTTGTCCTGGGCCTTCTGTCCCCCCAGCCGACCCCTGCCAGAACACCCCGGCCCTGGGCAGGGCCATCCACGCCCGGCCTGACCTCGACGGTGCCTTGGGGCCATGCCTGCCGCCCCCCTACACCCGGACCATGCTGCACCTGTTTGCGGGGCCCTCGGTGGCCCCCTCCGACCTCCCCTCCAACACCTGCCAGGGCCTGAGCCTCAACTGGAGCCTGGGGGACCCTGACGTCGAGGTGGTGGATGTGGCCACCGGGCGTGTGAAGGCCGAGTGAGCGGGGCCCGGGCGGGGGGGCAGCGGGACGGGCGCCTGGTGGTGGGGGTCCCCGGCCCCCTGCCCGTGGGGAAAGAGATCGCATCTAGCTGCCAGCCTCTTACCGGTAATGTGACCCACCCCCCGGATTCTCACGGCGTGGCTGGTGTGCGGGGCATGGAGTGGGCCTCTTAGTTTTGTCCTCCCTTGCCCTCCCCCGACGTTTGGTCCCTTTCTCTCCATCCCCAGCGCTGCCCTGGGGCCTCCATCCCGCCTCTGCAAGGCTGCCTTTCTCTGGGCCTTCCGCCAGGCTGCCCGTGCTCTCGGGAAGTCCCACCTCCTGGCCTTGAAGACCTACGAGGCAGCCAAGGTCAGCTGCTTCCCTGCCCGCAGCCCCCTTTCTCCTGCACCCCCAGCAGGCACCCTCTCTCCACCGTCTCATCTCCTGCCCTAGGCTGGGCCCTACCAGGAGGCTCGCCAGCAGCTGTCTCTCCTCCTGGACCAGCAGGGCCTGGGGGCCTGGCCCTCGAAACCACTGGTGGGCAAGTTCAGAAACTGAAACAGACGTCCGGGCCGAGGTCCCTGAGCCCAGGCGGAGCTTGCTGGAGGAGGGCCGTTTCTGGGCGGGGGCACGGGGCGGGGGAGGGTGGCGCACGGGGACACAGGGTGAAGCTGGGGGTGGAGGGAGGGTCTGGCGTGCTGGAGAGGTGGGGCGGCTGCATATTCGGGGCTTGCATAAAGAAGCTGTTTCTGGTGGTTCTGTGTGTTGTTGGCTTTCTGGCGGGGAAGAGGGGAGTCGTAGCCCCTCGGTTTGTGAAGGGAGAAGCCCCCGTGGTGGCTGGGGCTCGGCTGGAGCCTCCTCACAGAATCACTGCGTCGTCGCCCAGCCTTCGCGCCTGGGGGCGGCAGTGTGGTGTCTCGGGCGGCGGGTGTGGGAGCCTGTCCTCCCTGGTCTCCTTCCTTTCCCAGGACTCGCCCGGCAGGGTGGGGGGAGAAGGGTGGCACCTGGCCAGAGGAGGCAGCCACGAGGCCCGTAGAGCCAGCTGGGTCCGGCCAGCCGCTGCCGGGAAGGGTGGCTTTGGGAGAAGAGGCGGCCCCGGGCGGGCGGCAGCCCCAGTTCCTGCCCTCTGCGTCCTCTGGGTTCCCGCGAGTGGGTGGGGCAGCGCTGGGCGCCAGCAGGAGGCTCACGCAGAGCTGAGCCCAGGCTCTCTCCGGCCGCCCCAGCTGTCACAGCGGCTGAGGCTGTGACCGGCCCGAGCCCCTGTGCCCGCTGGATGGGGGCTGCCTAGCCTGCCTCTCAGGCCAGGTGGGCGGGTCTTCTTCCTTCTCCTCGGGGGGCTGCAGTGAGTCTGTGGGGACTACCGGGCTCTCCAAGGACTTTGGGTGTGGAGGGAAATGCTGTACACTTCACATGTGCACACACGCACACGTGCACACACACCCACGCACAGGTCTGCAGGCCTGGGCGCCACCCCAGCCTGGGCAGGGCCTGTTGAGCGGGAGTACAGGCAGCTTTGAGGTCTGGGGACCTGGGGCCAGGGAGGCTTGAGGACCACACCAGCCCGCAGCTCCACACCCTGTGGCTGGACGCTCCCTGCTCCCTCAGCAGTTCCAGGGTTTAGAACTACAGACTGCTCTCCCTGGTGGGCTGGGAAGCTGGGCCAGGCCGGAGCAGACGATGGAGCCCTGGAATCGCATCCCCTCCCTCCAAGCCACCTCCCGGCCCCGGGTGTGTGTGGCCTCAGCTGCCGCTTAACCTCGGTGCACTTGGGTCGACTCATCTGGAGAAATAACTGGAAGGCCAGCCCAGGTGGCCTGTTCTCCTCCAGCCCATCCGGCCTCAGGCTGGGCTTTCCCTCTGCCTGTCCGCTGGGCCCGTGCTCCCTCCCTTTCAACCAGTGCCGCTGTCAACAAGGGGACCTGGGAGGGAAGTGGGGGCAGAGGAAATAGCTGAGAGGCTAGAGGCTCTGGAGGCCCTGCACCGGAGGCTTTACAGATGCTGTCATATGGAAGAGGTAGATGCTATCACTGCGCCATTTACTGGTGAGAAAACTCCCAAGGTGAAGTTGGGTAACCTCCACAAGAGCACGCGGGGTCAGGATGGAGCTGCGGTTCCCGTCCAGGTACCTGACTTCCAAGCCCCTCAATCCCACTCACTGCCTGGGCTGCCACTGGAGTTGCTTCTGTGACCTTGGACAGAACCCCCGACCTCTTTTATAACGTGACTGGACCGTATGGCTCCAGGAGCTTCCTCCTGGCTCCGACCTGGCTCTGCTCCTCGGCTCTCCTAACGGCCACGAGGGTGGGAGACGCAGCCTTTGCCATTGAGAGAAAGAGCTGTGGGCTGTCGGGCTTGGGAGAGGGCGGGAAAGGGGCTGGGGGAGGTGGGAGTAGCCGCCAAAGGCAGGACAGGTGTCCAGGAACGCGCATGTGCAAAAGAAGGGCGGAGGGAAGTTTGGACCCGGTTGGAGGGTCTCCAAAGCCAGGTAAGTGCTGATTTTTTTTTCTTCTTCTTCTTTAACTGAGAAAACAGCGAGGTTATTTACCCGTGTTGTTATTTAAAAGAAAGCAAACTTAGGCCAGCTTTGAAATAATGATCTCTCATGGTTATTTTTTTCAGGGATGGAGAAGCTTTTTAAAACAGCCAAGCCTATTAATTAGCACATTTACTACACATGTTTTTCCCCCGGAGAGCATTTAAATTGATTTCCTTTTTGTCCTGCGATGGTGACTACAACCAGATCCAGAAATATACCAGCCATTCCAAATGGCAGTTCTATGCAACGAGCCTTTTGATATTCATTAATCACATAATCAGTGGGTAAACAAGTTGTTCAGAATGACATTAACTCTGCAGCGTTCTGCCCAGTTAGTAATATTTGTCCGCATGTTGCATAAACCTGCCTGGCCAATCCTCCCCTCCCAAGACAGTCCTCATTACACAATATTCGCTCAGTTCCTTTGACTCAGCTTATGATTGCAGGGTGACGATGAAGGCTGCTTCTGAAACGGAGAGCCTGTTAATGTCTTCTTGGCCCGATCCCCTCTGAGTGAGGTTTTGCCAACAACAGCATATTTGAGCAGGGAGGTGACGTAACCCAGCCGGGCACAGCTCAAACGCCGCTTCCTCCACGACGCCTTTGCCATCATGCCCACCTTCCCTTCCCTGCAGCTCCAAGCTCCGGGGGTCTGCCCTGGACCCCAGCACTGCGCTGCCCCTCCCCGTGTGTGGTCTTCACCGCTGAGCACAGGTGTGGACCCAGCGGCTGAGGGGCTGCTCCACCTTTCCAAGCCTCAGTTTCCCCACCTGGGAAATCGGTCACAAACGCGTGGCCTGCAGGGTCATGGTGGGATGAACTGAGAAGTGTGCCGAGCACTGTTCCCGATGTTAGCAGTCATCGTTGGTGGCTGTCATAGGGCCTGGCTGCTCCCAGCTCCCGGAGGTCAGCCTGTTGTCTGTTTCTCTCCATCCCTTCCTTGAGGTCTCCCACAAAGAACATGCCCAGCAAACAAGCGTTGAATGTAAAATGAATGAATGATAGTATCTTCTCTTTACAGGAGTGGGTTAGAGGGAAGGAACAAAATCCCTGTTCTAAAATACGGCTCTAGAAGACATTTTGAAAATTTCCATTTTATTGTGAGCTCTTTTTTGCTGAGCTGTAGAAGCATTCAGAAAGACCTAAAGAATGTGATTACACCACACCTGAACTCCTTGTGTCTTGTCAGTTATAAGAACCAATAAGTCTCCTTTAGTTTGTCTGCTTGTTAAATGAAGTCTGATTAGAGTTTCCTGTCCTTGGAAACAAAATATTTCTCACTGATATTTGTGGGTGTGTCCTAAAGATGTAAAGTGTTGGTTCAGTTCATCTCCCAAACTGCCTGCATGTAAATCCTGGCCGCGGGGTCGGCTTCCGGGGGGACCCAAACATCTGGGAGAACCAGGGCAGACCTCCTCAGGGCCCGTGCCACGTATGTAACGTTAGTCCCGTCACCACTCTGCCCTCTTCCCTTCTAGGGCTTATCACAGGCTCTGCTTGTCCTGTTTATTTCCTTCTTGACTTATCCTGGGTCTCCCTCTCTACCCCACTCTTCCCCTCTACCCAGGTCTACAGGAGCATCTGTCTTGCTGACAGAACAACGCCTGGCACGTGGCAGGCATTTAAGAAACACTGCCCCAGAAACTAACCATTGCCCTTCCAACTTCTGACTTGGCCACAGCCCAGGGGTTGGTGAGCCCTGACCCCTGCCACCCATCACCTGGGGGACCCTCCCACCTCCTCCGACATCCTTAGGTCAGCCCCAGCAGTCCCCGAGGCTAGACCTGCCCCAATACACCAGAGCAGCCACTTATCGCTTCTTAGTACAGTTTAATGTTTCTCTAGGAGTTGCAAGCAGGGGTGGGGTGGGGCGAGCCCCGGAAAGCTTAGTTAGGAAGGCGCCAGGTGAAATTGCTGAGTTTCCCAGGGGATCATATTTCCAGCCAGTCATTGACTGAGTACAATGGAAGCCTTTGGAACAGCAAGATTGGCTCATTTTAGCTCAGGGCGCCCAATTTCATGCTTTTTTCCCTTTGTTCCTCTCGCAGGAAAGGTGATTTATGAAAGTCATGTGCCTTCTCTGCGCGTCACCTGGAGCTGGCGGCCAGGGAGGCTGGGCTCGTGCGGCCTCAGCCGGGCTGCTCTGGACAGCCCCAGAGCCACAGGACTGGTGGGGACAGCAGCGTCCCTTTGTTTTAACTGACATTGTGTTCCCGGAGGTGCCCCTTGGTTAGATGTCAAATGGTGGATGAGCCCAGCGCTGGGCGAGGGTCCGGAGGCTCAGAGCTGCGGGCGCTGCCTGCTAGTCCTGGCTTTGCCGCCTCTGACCGTGTGACCTGCCCCATCACGTCCCCTTCCTGGGCCTCCGGGTCCACACCCATAAAAGGGCCGGGTTGGGCCCAGTGACCGTAAGGGACCGTTTAGCTCTGAGAATCTGTGAGGCAGGCCGTTGGTTCCCGGGCTGGCGGGGTCAGGAGGGCAAGGGACAGTCCCCTTCTCGTGGCAGCTGGAGAGTGAGGACCTGCTCTGAGCCTCGGGGATGGGGTCACCTGCCAGGCGGACCCTCTCTCCTCCTCACCGAGGCGCCAATGGTCCGTGCACTGCCGGCCATCTGGCATGTTCTATCCGGCCTGCATGGGAGCAGGGGTTAATTTTGTTTCTTATTTGAATGCCTCGGGCCCGGCCACCACTCCCCTGCTCTCTTCCTCTTTCTCACTCTCCACTCCTTTGCCAGCATTTCCTGGGGTCACCTCGCAAATAAAGGGCTTTTATGTCACCGGTGATGGCGCCCCCAGATGTGATACCCTGAGAGGGACACAACCTCACGGATATAGTGTGTGGCCAGGAAGGCACAGCCTCAATCTCAGCACAAGGAGGGGGGATGGGCACAAAATGAGGCGTGTTTTACTGAATAAGGAGAGGTCCATACTCACCCCAAATTTCCATGTCATCTATGTCGAAGAAAGGCTGTGGAAAGATCACAGGAGGCTAAAGAGATAGGACAAGGAAACGCAACACCCAAGCCCGTGCTGGACCCTGTCCCAGACGGAAAAGCCTATAAAGGATATTATTAGGGCAGCTGACAGAAGTGGACCAGGCAGTAGATTAGATTAAAATAGTGCATCCAAGTTACATGTGCTGACGTCGGTAACTGCATTATGGCTTTGTACGAGAATATCCTTATCCTTAGGATCTACGTACCAAAGCGTTTCGGGTCTCCTTGGGCTCTCCACCTTAAAATGAAGGAGTTGGTTTACCTTAGAGCTTCTATCCTTTCACTTGGGGGAGGAGTCATAGGTTCCTTTGAGAACCTGATGAAATCATCGAACACTGCACTCTGAAATGCACATAACGTACACGTGCTTTGTTTCACGTCATCTCCAGAGATTCCCAAAGCCCTTGTGGAAGCTCTTGGCTGGGAATCCTTGGACCCGTGGTCTTCTGATACGCTTGCCAGTTACTACCTTCTAAAGTTCTGAAAGCAGAGTGCCGTGATATAGTCATCTATTCTCAAATGGTCCAGAAAAGCATACTATATAGGGAATAAAAAATAGAGCAAACGATAAAACAAATGGGGCCAAGTGTTTCTTAAAAGGTGTATTGGAGTTGTCTATGTACTGTTTTTGCTCTTTGCAACTTTTGGTCAGTTTGACGTGTTTCCCAAATAAAATGTTAGAAAATCAATTGCAGGACGCCTAGTAATCATTCAACAAGTGATGCCCGTTATGAGCATTTCGACAAGAACGAGAGGAGGGAGGGAGTTTAACGCCGCTGGAGGGAGGTGGGCAGGGGGCGTGTAGAGCCGTGCAGCCAGGCACCGGGGCGAGGCACCCAGGTGGGTGGGTAGGTGTGTGGCGGGCAGCTGGTGGACAGAGATCTTCATGAACTCCTATTCAAACTTGAACTACTTGCTGATTGTTGCTATGGGAGCAATTCTGCGGATAGTCAGGGACTGTGGTCAGCTTTTCTTTCTCACCTCTCTCCCTGTTTCTTACCTGCCCCTCTCTCTCCATCGTATAAGTTGTAGCAGTGAACTTCTAGAATCCCAGACTGTCCATGCTGGGAGGGAATTTAACAACTACCTCATCCACCTTCTCCACGGGATCAATGAGAAAAGGAAGGCCCAGTGAAATCAATTTCCATGCCCATGTTATACAAAGGGTTAAGTGTTGGTACCCAGGGACCCCAAGACCACCCTCCTTACTCTGTTCAGGGTGGCATGGCAAAGTGTTAGAATCTTGTCTTGAATATTTTCTTTGAGGTCTTGGGCAGTGTTTCAGATGAACCTAAGAGCTGATATACTAGAAAGAGTGTCCTGCTGGGAATCAGGCTGCTCGGATCTAACTAAACGAACATGCTGTGTGGCCTTGGGTAGGTGGCTTTCCCTCTCTGAGCCTTGGTCTCTCCATCTTAAAATGCAGAAGTTGATTTACTTAACTTCTTGTCCTTTTTCAGGGATCATGGATTCCCTGAGGGTGGATAAAATCATTGAACCCTTTCTCAAAGCTGTGCATTTTGAGACACACTTAATCACCAGACGTTCAGGGACACCTCATGGAAACCACCTGCTTAGGTTGTCTTCTGATGGACCTTCCAGGTGTCAATTTCTCCAGTCCTAAAAGCTATGAAAATAGAGTCAGTGGGTCGAGCCCCACTTGCATTGCGTTGAAGAATTAACCCATCCATCCTCAATTCACTTGGGCTCAACTCTGGCTAGAGAGGTGTTGAACCAACACTTTAAAGTTGCCTCTGGGAGCCGCGTGAAAATAAGCTTGAAGTAAAGGGGCCTTTGCTCTTTTGCCTTCAGCTGGAAAATTTTGACTTTTGGCTGCAGTCATGCCCATTGGCCTCCGAGAAAAACAAGCCCTTCTGGGAATCGCAAGACTCCTTTCAGCCAATGGGGATGAAGAGACCGCCTAGCAACTCGCTGGTCATCCCCATCCCACCCAATCAGCATGAAGGAAAGGCTGCTCTGCCAGGCTAGACTAAACACAAGGAGACCAATCCCCCGGGACATTGCAGGGAAGGGAAAAAAAATAGAGCCTTTAATTAAGCCCCACATGTAAGCGATCAATTCCAATTTTCCACTTCTAATTTGGTAAAGAATTTCCACCGGGCGTGTAATGAGACGTTATAGAGCCTTATAATGTTGGGGATGGGCTCACCTATTTTTCTTTTAGTCCTGGCACATTTTGTTCGGATGACTGGCATGGGAAACAGAGGAAAACGGAGAGGCCTGGGTGGGAGCCAGTCACAGGATGGGCTGAGCCAGAGTGGGGAGTTATTGCCTCAGGCACGCAGCACAGAAAAGTCTCCAATGAGAAGAAGGACCGATATGGGGCCTGATGTGGGTCCCAGGCCTTCCCTGATCTGGGGTGAGCTCACCCCCAGTGGGGGCCATGACTGGGGGAGGGTATCTAGAAATGTGCACATTCTTTTAAAAATCATTATTTGCAAGTGCTGCACCTTGGGATTCAGAGCTCTCCACCCACACAGCAGCCCTGAGGGTCTTCGTGAGACCCCAGCTGGAAAACCACAGACCTAGCCCAATGCGTGAAACTGACAGAAAGGGGCTAAAGTCACAGGAGGCTTTTCCAGGGGGTAGGGCTTTTCCTTGTGAGACTGGCCACCTCGCCACTATGCAAAGCGCCTATTTGGTGGAATAGCATGGGAAGGACTGGGGGGTGCCCCGCTGACTTTGGGGGAGTTAGAGGGACGGGGACATGTGTGTCTGTCAGCTGGGAGTGCACCCGGAGAAGTCAAAGGGAACAAGGGCTCCCCGCGAGATCAAGGCCAGCTTGAAGCTAGATGCCGATGTGGGTGCCCCCTGTGCCAGAGGCCGAGGCCACACTGAGCCTGGCGTTGAGGTCAGGGGAAGGCGTGTGCCCAGCACATAGTAGGCCTGCACTAAATACTAGTGGAATGAATAAACAGCACGTTAAGTTGTCCCCACTGATGAAATGCTAACACGCCTACACATGAACTACATCAGATCCACAGGTCCACGACCTTCTCTCCATCATCCATTTGCAACCCCGTGCTCTTAGCGGATTTACAGCCGACAGTGCGCAGCTGTGCACGGCCGAATCACTGGTGGGAGGTGCTATCGAGGCCCCTCCCAGGTGTGCTCAGCTGGGGAACAAAAGATGAGACTCCAGGGGTGCCACCACCTTGTACGATTAATGACGTGGAGGAGGCAGGCCCTCATAGCTTGCCTGACCTGCTCGACTGTTCCCTGTTCCCAGCTGGTCCTCCTGCAACCCATCCCATCATCATCATCATTCGCACCTGCAGTCCGTTCACATCACCCCTTTCTCCAGCATCTGCAATATCTCCTCTCCATCTACCGAAATGTCCAAGTCCGCTACACAGCATCTCATCCCAGCCCACCTTTCCAGCTTCATCTCCCCAAACAGCCCTCCGCATTCAACCCCTTCCTGTGTCTCTGTGAAGCCCTCCGGGAGCCGACTGCCCAGAATGCACTGCTCTTTCCCCTCTGCTCAGGGCGCACTGCTTTTATCTCTAAGGACCTGGTCCTACCTCTGCCTCCTACTCTGGATGCAAAGGGCCGGGTCTCTTAATGAATGAATGGATGAGCAAATGAATTCATTGAAATATCAGCCAAGGACGTCTATTCTCTGGCATCAAGGGGTCGGGGGAGCGGGGGAGCAGGCAAAGGGCAGATCCTAAGTCTGCCCTCGTTTCTACGCTGCATCTGTGGTGGCTTAGCTGCGAGTGGAAAGCCGAGGTCCCCGCGGTGCTGGGGGAACCAGCAGCAGGAATGGTTCTCTCAAGCGACAATGCAGTGCCCTGTGAGAGTTAGCCTCTGTCAAGGCCAAGGACCGGATAATTGGACGATGTCTCACCAAGAGCCCAGGTGGCCAAGAAGGACCCGCTGTGCTGACAAGTGCCGCTCCTGTCCAGGTCCCAAGTGCGTCAGGAGGGGTGGCAGGCCACCATCCCCCACTGTGGGACTTAACGTGGAGGCCAGTTCTGCCTTCTCGGCTAAGAGCTTCCAGAGCTGGGGGAAGGCAGCTGCATTAGAAAAATGCCATTGGTGGTGTGAACAATAGCAAAACTGACCCCGGCTAGAACCCCCTGTAGAGCTGGGTGGAGAGATCTGATCAGAAGGGTTTGCAGTGACTGAACCCTCCAGGTCCTGGTGGTGGGTTGGCCCAGGAAAGAGGGTCTTCGGGGAGGAATGGAATTCTGTAGGCTTGGTTCTCTAGGTGTCTGGAAGCTAGCCTGGGTTGTTGAAGACTCTGCAGGAAAGGAAACGAGATTAAAGGGAGACAGACCTAACCCAGCAAGCGAACCTGCTTGTGCTCAGCGAGGAGCAGGGAGAGAGGAAACGGCAAGTGACATGAACGTCGTGGCCAGGAGGGTCAAGAATCACCCAACCAAACACCTCTGGCCTCGAGCCCCTCCCAGCCCTGGGAGTGACCCCCAAGCTCTAGGAACACACCACTGGATGACGTAGGTGCTGGTGCTCTCCAGTTCATGTGAGCCGAGGGCGATGGGCTGAAGATCTGGAATATTCAGGGGGGATTTTGAGTTAAATGTATGCCATGGGCAAGGCAGGGCCCTCCAGGATCAGGTCTTTGACGTCGTTTAAGAGTTCGCGTTCACTGGCCGGGGCCGCGCTCTGCAGGCGGCGGAAGCGAGCCTCCAGCTGCTCCTGCTGTTTCTTGAGCTCCAGGTACGAGTGCGAGAAAATGTGAAAGATGGACGTGGCCGGGAAGGCCATGATGAGGATCCCGCTCAGGATGCCGCTGAGGGCCACCATCTGGCCCGGCACGCTGCTCGGGACCATGTCTCCGTAGCCCACGGTCGTCATGGAGATGACGGCCCACCAATAGGAGGCCGGGATGCTGGTGAACTCCAGAACTCGCCCGGACTCGTTCTCGGCCACGTAGACCAGAGGAGAGAAGAGGGTGATGGCTACGCAGAGAAAGAGGAGGAGCAGGGCGAACTCGCGCGTGCAGCGGCGCACCGTGAGGCCCAGCGTCTGCAGCCCTAGCGAGTGGCGGGCGAGGCGCATCACGTAGAGGATGCGCAGTGCCCGCAGCACGCGCAGCGCCAGCCCCACCTTCTCCACGTACGAGCTCCGGCTCGGCCTCTCGCCGTCCCCCTGGGGCTCGTCGGACACCGCGAGGGACACGTAGTAGGGGGAGATGGCCAGGATGTCGATGATGTTGAGGGGCCCTTGGAAGAACTGGCACTTGTTCTGGGCCTGGACAAACCTCAAGCAGAACTCCAGGGAGAACCAGGCCACGCAGACGGTCTCCACGATGAAAATGTAGTAGCACTTCTGCGAGCACTCGCCCTGGAGAGGCGACAAAACGCGGGGTAGAGAGGGGACGGAAATGGCGAGCTAACCACACTGAAAAGCAATTCCATAGATCTGTAATGATACCGATATCGATTCCGTATGCAGAGTCTCTATACTAAATGTATATTCTCTCTATATTTTATATATTAAATATATATTAATATATTAACACATACTAATATATTCTATAATACATTAATACTTATAATATACATAACATGTTACTGTAATATATATTATATAATACATATCACAATATACTGATATATTAAGTATAGCATATATTAAACATTCAATATATATTCTTTGTGTAGTATATGGTCTCTATATTCTATATATTATCTATCTATCTATCATTTAGCTGTACATCGATGGAGCCCTGTTGTAGACTCTTAGTCATCTACCAAAACCCCCTTTTTACATAGTTCTCAAGTTGTGGCTGTGCGCATGGCCAGTCAGCTAGATCAGAGACCACTTTTCCAGCCTCCCTTGCAGCTAAGCATGGCCACATAACTAAGCCCCACCCACAGAATATAAACAGAGGGGATGCATGCCACCTCCAGTTCCAGGAGTTTAGTGTTGGCGTGAGTTCCTGCACACTCTTTCTCCCCTTCCTGTGAGCCAGGGCTCCCCAGCTTAGAACCAGCAGATTGGACCAACGCCCTGGGAAGGATGAGCATCATGGTGGGAAAAATCCAGGTGTCAGAATGAGAGCTGCCCACTCACCTCGATCCCTGTTTATGAGAGAAACCAACTTCTACCGTGTTGAAAGCTGTTCTATCGTGAGGCCTCTTGGTTAGAGCAGCCAAGTTTCTCCTTTATGACATAAGCACCTCTTGTGTACCAGGCACTGCTCTGGTGCTGTCACTTAAGCCCCACAGTGATGCCGTGAGCAGGCAGCCAGCTTCAGTTATGGCCCAGGAAACGGTCCCAAGCGCTGAGATAAATTGAGCTCACATTCATAGTAGATGGTCTCCCAGAGATTATGCGCTGTTTTGCCCGCCATCCCTCATTCATTTATCCAACAAAACTGCACGGAGGACTCACCTTGTGCCAGGTGCCATGCTAGACTCCGGAGGTAAAGGACTAGAGAAGCAGACATGGTTTCTGGGGGCTTGGAGCCTGGGGCAGGCAGAGAGGACACCGGCAGCCCTGTGAGGCGGATTGCAACTATGTCCCTCCTGAGATCCCAGCCAGGTGGGGCTCCAGTGGGTTCCTCACTGTGTCATTCACACCCCTACCCCTACCCCCAACAGAGACTTCCGCTAGCCCCTCTGCTACTCCAAGTGCGCCCTGGAACCTAAAGCATCAGCCTCCCCTGGGAGCTTGTTAGAAACATGGAATCTTGGGCTCCACGGCATCCCTGCGGAGCTAGAATCTGCATTTCAACAATGATTTGTGTGCTCAATAAGCTTGGAGAAGCTCTGCTCTAGTGCAGTGGTTCTCAGCCTTGACCGCACGTGTTAGAATCACCTGGCGGGGGGGGGGCTTTGAAACAATCCTGATGTCCAGGTCGGGATGCCAGAGATTCTAATTTACTTGATCTAGGTTTTAGCCTGAGCGGTAGAATTTTCCAGAAGCCCCATCAATGATTCTCATGTGGAGCTAGAGTTGAGAACCTGACTCTAAATATTACATCTACATCTTCGTCTCTATCTGCATCTATCTCTATATTGTCTCCATCTGTGTCTATATCTCTATCATCTGTATCTTATGATAGATGAGTGAACCAATGACCAAAGCCAGTTGATTGAGTGAAAAGCAAGATGTTGACAAGCACAGTTTTCTTTGGATTAAAAACCTCTGATGTGGAAAAAGAAATTATTTCCAGTGCCTGGGCTCACAGGAATACTAAACTGAAATAATCTTTTTGTCTGGCCTTTGAAGAAAAACACAGGCTGGACCGTCCTGATCTCTATTCGCCGGTCCAGTGCTGGGTAGCTCTCTCTCCCGGTTCACTGCCTCGGGAGGATTGAGACAAACGGAAATGACGCAGGTAAAGATGTTAGCAGGCTGCTGCCTCCGAAGGTACGTGAAACATTGTAGCTACCCGGATGAGATGATTCACTGGTTGCAGACGTAGCCTGCCTGGTCTGTTTAAGGGGAACTATCCTTCTCCTATCCTGGATTTTACAGGAGGCTGAGGAAATTCTCCAACACACTAGAGGTCTTTGCCATGACTGCCTGGGGTTTGCTTCAGGACTCTGGAAGGCTCAGGAGTTTTGGGTCCTGATTCCCCAGTCCTGCTACAAACTTGCTGTGTGACTTTTCTGGGGTCACTGCCGCTCTCTGTGCTTTAGTTTCTGATGGAGAGGGTGGAACAGAATCAGGATTTCTCAAAGCTGATTCATAAGCCCTGCATCAGAGTGCCCTAGAGTGCTTGTTACCAATGTGGATTCTGGGGGCCCCATCACAAAATCAAAGCCCTGGAGTGAGGCCCAGGAATCTGCATTTTGGCAAGGCCTCCTGTTGACTCAGAGGCACCTGGAAGTTTTTCAGCCTCTGGGCCATATCCTCTCGATAAGGCCTCTTTCATCACTGACATTCTGGGAGTTTTTTTCTTTTGCGTAAGAGCCTTCTGTGGCCTGGGAATAATCTTCCCAGACCAGCGACCCAATAGCTCAGGAAGGTGACTCCTGGGAGGCAGAGGAGGCCCTGTGGGTCCTTCCTCCCTTTGCCTCTGGTGCTGGCTTTTGGATGTTCCAAGCATGCACCACCCACCTCCCACCAGCCACCTCCCTGCCCTGCAACAAGTGCTCTGCCGAGTCACCCCCTGCATGGCTGCTCCGCTCTGCAGCCTAAACCAACCTCCCAGCACTGGCCCTCAGACAAATGCCCTGTTAGCGGCCGGCATTGGAATGGCAGGGGTTTATGGGGTTCGAGCTGAGAAAATAATTCCCAGGCCAGGCAATATTTGAAGAAAACTAGAAGGGAAGGAAAGAAAAAAGTCACCCTCTCTCTGAGGAAGTTTCTGGTTGTATTCTGTAGGTAGGATGAACAACTCATGCTGGTTTGCCCAGAACTTTCCAGGTTGAGCAACAGACAGTCCCAGGTCACCAGAACTTCCCCTCAGTCCTGGACAAACGGGGATGCTTGGTCACCCCCCTGAGGGGCTTGCCACCACGAATGAGGCGTGCTCTGATTCCTTCCTGCAATGAAGAGAAACATGACCAGCCCCAGGTAGGCCGGAGAAGTGAATGGTGTGAGAACATGGACGAATGTCACAGATGGATGTGGGGCTACGTTTCCATCCAGGTGAAGTCCAAGAGTGGGCAAAACTCCCCTGAGGTGGACAGAATCACCAAAAGAGTGGCTGCCTCTGGATGGGGTAGAGAAGACCACAAACGGACCTGAAAGAACATTCTGGGGTGATGGGAATATTCCATATTAAACAGGGCTGTGGGTGTGCCCCATTTGTTACATTGGACAGCTAAGACTTGTGCATTTCAGTGTATGTAAATGTCACCCATAAAACTGTAAAATAAAAATAAAATGAATGATCATGGTGCTAAATGATTGTGGGTGGGAGGGGGTGGAGAGAGAGAGAGAACCAGAATGGCAGACTGTGGACAATCGTGAAAACTGAGACATGGGTACTTACTGGGGGTTCATTAGATTATTCTATTTACTTTGTAAATGCTCCAAATTTTCCATCCAGAAAAGTTTTTTTTTTTTTTTTTTAAATCAGAGTTGGAAATCAACACCACAATGAGATACCACTCCACACTCACTAAGATGGCTGTGATTATAAGGACAAAAAATAACAAGTTTTAGGAAAAGGGGATTAAGTGGTATAGACTACTAGGTATAGAATAAATAAGATACAAGGATGTAATGTACAGAACAGGGAATGCAGCCAGTATTTTATAATATCTTTAAATAGAGTATAAGATACAAAAATATGGAATCACTCTGTTGTATACCTGAAACTAATATGATATAGTAAACCAACAATAAGAAAAACAAGTGTTGGTGAGGTTGTCGAGAAATTGGAACCTCCCAGTCATTGCTGGTGGGAATGTAAAGTGATACAGCTGCTGTGGAAAACAGGTGGGTGGTCCCTCAGAAAACTTAAACATACATTTGCTATATGACCAAGCAATTCCGCTCCTTGGTATATACCCAAAGGAACTGAAAGCACACATCCACACAAAAACTTGTCCATGAAGGTCCGCAGCAGTGTGATTGATAACAGCCAACAAGTGGAAACAAGCTAAATGCCCGCCAACGGATGAATGAATAAAACAAAATATGATCTCTCTATATGTTGGAATATTATTCAGCCATAAAAAGGAAGTCCTGGGCTTCCCTGGTGGCGCAGTGGTTGAGAGTCCGCCTGCCGATGCAGGGGACACGGGTTCGTGCCCCGGTCTGGGAGAATCCCGCATGCCGCGGAGCGGCTGGGCCCGTGAGCCATGGCCGCTGAGCCTGCGCGTCCAGAGCCTGTGCTCCGCAACGGGAGAGGCCACAGCAGTGAGAGGCCTGCGTACCGCAAAAAAAAAAAAAAAAAAAAAAAAAAGGAAGTCCCGACACGTGCTACAAAGCAGATGAGCCTTGAAAGCCTTATGTTCAGTGAAAGAAGCCAACATAAAGACCATATATTGTATGATTCCATATCTATAAAATTCCCAGAAAAGGCAAATTCATGAAGATAGAAAGTATGTTCGCAGTTGCCTGGGGCTGGTGGAATGGGGGCGGGGAGGGGATGGGGAATAATTGGAAGTGTGTGCAGTGTTGCTTTTTAGGGTGATGAAAACGTTATGGAATTAGTGGGGATGGTTGCATTACTGCATACTAAAAATCACTGATTTGTGCACTTGAATATTTGAGGGTATGAATTATATCTTAATAAAAAAGAACCTCGAGTTTGAGTCTGAGTGGCCAAGTCAGTCTGGCTGAGGCAGGGAGTGAGGTCCACAGCCTTGCCTCATCCTTTCCTGAAGCTCCGTAGCAGAGCTACTCTGAAGGGCTCTGGGGTCAGAGGGAGGCCAGGG